AAATGAACAAGTGATATGGTGCCCTTCTCCCAAAGCTCGTCTCGAGGATGCTGTAGCTGTGATGAGGCTTGATGAGTGTGGAGGGTTACTCGCCTTCCGTCATTTGTCTATCCATGAGGGCAGCATCACGCATGAACATAGTTTTTGATTTGTGTAGCGGTCCACAATAATCTGGTGTCGCAGAACTCGTCGCTGTCACCCGCAATAGGAGTCTATAGCCAAAATCACGAGTACGCCAATTCACTGCGAAGTCTGCGGCAGCCTTAAGCACTTCCAGAAAAGGCACTATATTTCATGTGACAAGTTTCCAGCGCTTGAGTCGTCATGTGCATTTGGCTGTGGTTGAAATGCATCAAGCTGTTAGACACAAACTTGACTGCCGCCATGCACTGACAGTCTGAGATGTCATTCTGCCCTGCCCATTTCTTCTTGCAGTACCTGAGATTGTCACGATATTTTGCACATGTTCAATTCATTCATTACATATGCACACCGGTGCATTGGGATGGGACGCAGTTACCGTCCTTGTCCCGACGGATGTATGTGTTTGCTTTGAGAATCACATTGATGCTATGCTAGAATATTAGAAATGGCTAGAACGAAAGCACGAGGAGCGTAACAATACATGAAGTGACACCCTCCCAAACCCTCTTTCATTGATATTATCAGAAGAGCACCGTACACAGCGATGACGAACATCTGACTGCAAAGATGTAAAAGAATGAAAACCCTTTTAGCTTCTCTATCCATGCCTGAAGAACACAGAAAGATGCAAACAACTCCTTTCCCCACCCATACCTTCAGGTCCCAAATATTGCAATTTTGAAAGAAATCAGCTCCGAAACATAAAAAGAATTTCGAGTAGAGGACAAGAAGAGCAGAGATGAGCCTCACCACCCAGAGACATGTCGCGTTCGATGGAAGCATGTCTTTGCTCGTATACAGTTTTCATTACAAAAAGACCACATATAGTCTCCGTCCCCACCCTCCTTAGGCCAGTGGGTTAATCTTTCCAAGCATTCCCACATGTGCAAAAAAGGTTTCGTTCGCATTCGCCAAATTGAGAAGAGAGATATAATATAAACGCCATCCATATGCAATGCTAATTTGATAGCAACTCCGATTTCAGTTGTTGAGTACTCATATTCATCCTGAGCCCAACAGCTGCAATGCGCTCGCCACATAAACGGACATTTCACCTTCCGTGTAGAAGCCCGGTCCGGCTTGTCTAAGTTCCCCAAGGATTTGCGCCGGGCATGGCTGCGTGCATGGGAATGTGCCCGCCATTACCATACTTCTCCTGTATGCTTTGGAGCTGCTGTGCCGTTGTTGGGGTGGTCCCCCAGCGCTGCGGTTGTGGTATGGCCTGGCCGGGGGGAACGGGAATGGCGGCCACGTCCCGTAGCAAGCTGACAAGACCGTCGGCCTTGAACCGCGTCTCCTTGTACGTATGTGCTGGAGGAATGATGCTGAGAAGGAAGTTGATTCCACGAGGAAGGGGTGGTGGGCCTTGGGCCTGTCCGATAGGTGTAGAGCCAGCGGTAGCGAGGTTGCGGCGTGCAGCATCGAGGCGGCGACCTGCAGCACCTTTGAGAGGCGACTCACCACGAGCAAGCTTGCGGGGTTGTGGCACGTCTTCCACATCCTCGAGTGGGCGCTTTGGTGAGTTAGTGACAGTGTGAAGGTTGTTGAGGTGGGGTGAGTTGGCAATGGCAGGAGACGCAAGACGCTGTTGTTCTACAATAGGCGGTGGCTGTGGGGGCATTGCAGGAGCAGGTTGCTGCTCTTCAACCGAGGGCATAACCGATGGCATAACTGGTGGCATAGATGCTGGCATGACTGGCCTCATTTGTGTGCGGGGAGAGATGATGTGACGGACGGAAATGGGGTCGAAGGTTGAGCTTGCGAAGCGTTGCGAGAAGCGATGCAACTGGGGATCTTCAGGGAAGAGAGTTGCCATACGCTGCTCGAGCTTGGTGATCTGGGCTAGTTCACCAAACTGAGCCTCGTAATCATGGAAGAAGGCAAAAAGAGACTTGGCTCGATGGACGTTTTCCGGCTTGGCTGTCAGTTTTCCAACGACAGTTTCGAAGACAGCACGGGCGTCTGTGACAGTTAGTACAGAGACGAATGAATAACAATAAGTGTGTAAACTTACTGGTTGAGTCATTCAGCTTGATCAAGTGCTTTATGTACTCCAACGCGAACTGCTCATCTTCTGGAAACAGCTTCATACCGCGCTCGAAAATCTTTTGTGCAGCTGGTTCCTGGTAACAATGATGCTCAATGAGTGCGCTAGCTACGTAGGCCTCGCTAAGCAGCTTTCCCTTTTTGCGAGCCTCAGTGAAGATACCACGGAAGCCACCGACATCCCCCTTTGGATCTCCCTTGCCCTGAACACGACGCATTGCACGCATGAGCGCTATCCATGCATATGTAAGTGTCTTCTTGAGGTTTTGGGTCTGCGCGTTGTATCCGGCAGACATGGCTTGGAGCTGGCTATTGAAGGCGTCTTCCTTCTCCTTTAATCGTCGTGCAGCAACGACCTCATCTTCATCATCTGCGTCCTCGTTCTGCTGCGCGATTGCGCGCGCACCCTCGTCGGCTTGCTTCTGGGCTTCAAACTGCTCCTTTGCTCGCGCAATAGAGTGCTCCTCTCGCTTCTTGACCTGTGCTGTAAGGTCGTAAATGGTGTCAAGGAGCTTCTGATATGGTTCTCGCACAGCCCTGCCTTTGGCGATGATACCAGCTTGGCCATCCTCGAAATCGGTACGCTGCTCGACCTGGCTAGCTTTTTTGAAGGCAAGCAGGCAGCTCTCAGGGTTTGCCTCGATGCCGTCATTGAGAAACTTGTCACCTTCAGCCTGCAGGTTGTTCTCGTAAGACCATTCAGCTGCCTCGTACCACAGCTCTGGCCAGAAACGAAGGGCCATCAGGGCGTTCTTGTAAAGGTGCAGAACACGCTTGTTGTACAGTTCACGGTTGTCGGTTGCGCATTCGAGTGGGTCACTCTTCTCCCATTGGATCCAGTTTTTCCACAACTTGACCTGGTTCATGTACTCCTCGTAGCCATCGAAACCGGCAGCAGGTGGAAGTTTGGGCAAAGTAGTCCGGATGACACCTCTTGTGATGTTGTTATCAAGAACGTTGATAGCACTGCGAGCAGTCATGTATGCAGGCGAAGTTTCCTGTAGTTGTTTGCGACCCTGTGACGAGATAAGCTTACGGAAGCGAAAGGTAGACCATGAAAATGCTTACAGAAACTTTGTTCATGCTCATCTCAAACTTGTCATAGTCTCGCCAAATTTCTAGAGTAGCGTTGTGAGGAACTGACACGGCGCGCTGGTAAACTTTTCGCAAAGTGTCCATCTTTTGCATATCTTGCCAGTTGCTGCCACCAAGAACACCAGGCCCAGTCTTGAGCATCTCGATGTAATCAAGCCATAGCTTACCAGCTTGAACATCAATACCAACTGAGTTCAGGACAAACTCATAAGCTTGGGTGACTGTCTGGCGATTCTGCCCATTCTGGTCAGTGGTGAGGTTGAAGCGACGTCGGATAAAGTCAATGTAAGCAGAGTATATGCCGATATATTGAGCTGAAGGAATCGAACGACCAAAGAGATGCTCGACTTTTGGCAGCTCGTCAAGTTCAGTTTCAAACTGAATGTACTCTACCCATTGCTCGCCCTGATCATGTTAGTGGAATGACTTGGATTGCTCACTGCTATGTATGCTTACTGCTGAAGGAAAGACTTTGAAGAAGCGCTCGAATACAGCTCGCGCATCGTCGTGCTTGTGTCGCCTGCGGTGCTCCTCAATTAGACTCAACCACGCTTCGATGTCACCACGCGGATCTTCAGCAATGCGATCTTCGAGAATACCAACTCGATCCTGAGGAAGACGAGCCTTTGGCAGAGAAGCAGAAGTAGGCGCCGGAGTGGCTGGCGCTACAGAGGGACGGGCTGAAGCAACATTCAAGACGTCGGGGGTAGCTGGCTTAGTAACGTCTGGGACAGGCGTACTGCCGTTAGGAAGAGAAGCAACAGAGGGAGCAGGCTCATTGACAGCGATAGGAGCAGAAACAGATGCAGGAGCCAGGTCTTGTGCACTATGTAACTGTACATCTGGGTTGGGAAGTGTATTGTTTGGTGTGTTTGTAAAAGAAGGCTGAGGCGACTCAGCGTCTCCCGTAGCTCTCAGCAGTGTAGCATTCGCCTCTTGCGGCTGCGCAGCGGACTCCTCTTCCTCGTCCTCGCTCTCGTCGACAAACCCACCCACAGTGCGCGGTCGCTTGGACTGCGGCGCTGCGGACGCCTCTGCAGGAGCCTGGGGGGGCTGGGACTGCGACCCATGCTCGCCCTCGGTAGTTGGCGGTGGAGAATTGGCGCCCGATTCTGGCGGCGCGGACTCAGACTGTTCTGAGTGTGCGGAAAATGTCGCGGTCGGGTCGTATTCATCCTGGCCTGTAGGCGCGTCGGGCATATTGTAGCCGGCTGAAGGGTCGTACTCTTCTTCCTTTTGCGCCTCTAGGAAGGCGAGCTCGGCCTCGTCCGCCATCGATATGGCAGGATGCAAGCTGTGCAAGGCGGTTAGAAGTGGTCGCTGAGGAGTGGCAGGCGTAGGATTACAAAGTGCGTGGACGTGTCGGGTGGTTTGCAATGGATTTCTTTGTCGCGTGGTTAGTTGTGCAAGCAATGCGCTCCAAGATGCGCGACCGAGCCAGGGATGGACTCGAAGCTCTTCAGATGCTGTCGGCAGCTTCGAAAGGTCGTGTCTGGGTATTTTCGAGACGTGCGCGATAACAGAGGGGATAGTGCGCCGTCGGGCGTGGTCGAGTGGGCGCGCCGTGTATGAGGTGAAGGTGAGCAAAGGTTGCGAGTCGGCGATGCGGCCTGTTAGCGGAGGACGGAGCCTGACATGCTTTGGCCTTGGCACCGGCCCTAGTGCGCAACCGCCAGGCACCCGACCCATGTCATGGTTCAGGTACATCCACACTGTCCATATTGACGTCCTCCACATGCATCTCCCGACTATAACTATGGAAATTTGGGATTCGCCGTGACACGGTAATCGCTGCGCCCTATACCGCATTCTCCTCCCCTACCACCGCACTCACACGCCCAGCCGCTGCCTCTACTGCGCCTTTCACATTCACATAGCCTGGCATGAACCCGCACATATCCCTCCCACGGCCCACGGGCGGGCCCTCCAACTTTGGCTCCATGCCCTCGTCCCGGCGCAATGAAATCAAGATGCCGCGCTTCTTCAAGCGCATGTTCAAGTTCCCCCAGATGGACTTTGAGATGGCCGCATGGGAGATCATGAGCCTGATAATAGCGCCCAAGAAGGTGTTTCGCCAGATATTCTACCACGTATGCCACAATATGTGCCCCTACGCGCCCGATGCACCACTGATGGCTCTGTAGAAACAAACAACAAAGACATACCACCGACCCGACCCATCCTTCACATACCTGCTCTCCTTCTTCCTTACTCTCACGTCCCTCGCCTGGGGTTTCGCATACGCCGATGGTTTCACACAGACCCTCCACATAATGCTCGTTTTTATTTTTGGACACTTCCTGCTGCTCTCGCTTGTTGTAGCCACTCTGTTCTTCTTCCTTGTAGGCCGATTACTGGGTCCAGACAACACGCTGCTGCCAGGCCGACGAAGAGGCCTATATAACCTTGGCGAAGATTCTGGCAAGGAAGAGCTGGAGTTTGGCTACTGCTGGGATGTGGCTATCAGGGCTTTCGTGCCAGTTTGGGTCTTTCTCTATGTTGTGCAGTTTATCTGCATGCCTCTAGTAGGAACGCAGCACTGGTAAGACACCCATCATTAGGCGAGAAAGCTGGCGCTGACATACCTCAGGTTCTCACTCCTCCTATCCAACACGCTCTATCTACTCGCGTTGAACTACTACTTCATTATTACCTTCCTGGGCTACAAGGAGCTGCCCTTCCTACACCACACAGAGCTGCTGCTAGTACCAGTTGCCGTCATGGCCATACTCTGGTTCGCATCTCTCTTTGGTTTCAACATGTCAACACACTTTGCTCCAGTTTTATGGACAGGAGCAAAGTTGCGCAAGCATGTTTGATTACTACTAGATGTAAAAGCAGATAGATCAGGAATGGAGAAGCAACCCAGACGCATTTGAGGCGCGACAACCTTGCATCTCCAGAATTCGCATCTTTTTTAGGCGTTGGGCATTGACCAGTTTCCACCACTACCGACGTTTAGGAGCGCAACTTATCGTGGCATTTTCAGCGAGGTAGATGAATGCAATTTGTACAATCATGAATTGACCTTTTCTGTGCTAACATGATAGAGACGTATCTTTTGAAAAGCTTCACATATTCTTGCAACCATACGGTATCCATGCATAAGACCCATTCGCAACCAAAGACTTGCAACAACAATGACACCCGAACTTCAAGAGTCGACATGCCGCCACTTCTACAAAGAGAGAATAGTGTCTTTATCATCTACAAACAAGAAATCTTGCATCGTACGTGTACTGCATCTAGGCCGTTGAGGTCGTCAGTTCCAAGTTTATGGCCTTGAGTTGTTGATTAGATGCTCCACACATATTCAAGCAAGGCGATCATAATAGCAGTTAATGAGAGCATAATTTGTTTGAGAAAAATCTAATTTTGGGTTCTAAATATAATACATGAACTAATCGAATTTTTAGACGAAGAAAATAAAGAAAGGGAGTGTGCTCTTATCCTCCCAAACGGAGCCATGTCACACAGCCCCCGCTGAGGTACCAATGGAAAAAGATTTGAGCGTTGCTTTTACTGGTAGTTGGCAGTCGCCTTAGTAGTCTTTCCAGAAACCAACTCGACATCCTTGACTATGACCTGAGAGCCAAGATCAGAAGTAAGTCTGACCCAAGCAGTCTTGGTGCCAGTACCGCCGTTTCCAACGAGGGTAAAGAAGTTGTTAATGTTACGAGTAGTGGGCTTCCATGTGTTCCCGCCATCGCCAGAGACCTCGAGCTTGGCAGTGTGGAGCCTCGCGTTGACGACGGTAGCAGCGAACCAGTACTGTGACGAACCGCCGTGCATGCGGATCTGGAGAGGATCGGCGATTGGGCACTCGACGTATTTCCAGGTTGAGTGAATCATGCCTTTGTTCTTGTTATCGAGCTTGGAGAACATGTTAGGTGAGAGATCCAGATGGACGGAATCACCGCCAGTCTTGTTGGTGATCTGTTCGTGTCGTTAGTACTTTATAACCAGTGCGTTTTTTCTTTCGGAAGGAGACTCTCTTACCATGGCGATCTTCTTCTTGCCCTGGTAGTCGATTTCGACGCAGGCACCGCAGTGGTAGGAGCTGTTCCAGATCACTTCGGAGACGCAGGTTGAGCCGTCAATTGTGGCGGGGAGGACATAGTCAACGAAGGCGCAGGCTCCACCTTGCCAGCATGATTCTTCTCCACAGTCCTTTCCATACCAAGTGAGGTCTCCGTTGAAAGTCTGTGTATAAGCTGACGAGGCAGTAGAAGACGGGATGACAAGAGAGGTAGGCGAGTTGTCGGGATTGGATGAGGTGTCGGGAACGGACGCGATGCTAGCAACAGGCGAGGATGCTGCAGGAGCAGGCGTGTTGTTATGAGCGCCTGCGCCCTTAAGGTGACGCTCTGCAGGACGAGCCGCAGCAAAGGACGCCAGAGCCAAGATGGCTGCCGTGTAGGTAGAAGTGAATCGAACCATTTTTGGGAAGATGGTGTACTTGTGGAGTAAATAGAAAAGAATGACTACCTAGTACAAGTGTCGAATGAATGAAAAAGTGGGTGAATGAAACAACCAAGACTGGAGAGAAAGCTTGATTATTCGCTTCGCTTTATAAAGAATTCACGATCTGTATCTTGGTCTCTTGGTGATTACCGGGACGGGAAAGCTTAGAGTCTAGAAGCGAGATGTGGGGGCGCCAGCCCCTGCAATGCAGTAGCTGGTCGTTTCATGTTTACCGCTGATTACTCGTCATCTTCTGGCCAAAATCGGGTACGTATCGTGAAATTTACGTTGAAACACGCCCACAATCGGTATCTAACGGTCCGATTACCGAGTGCACGGAACAACTTTTGGGAACTTTGTGGGCTAGTCTTATTACCTCTGTGTCATGTCTTCTCCGCTACTTCCAAATGACAAATTAAAAACGACCTTGCCTTCATTCAAGTACCGTGCAAGTTGCGACGGCACGTATTGAGAGATGAGAGGTTTTGGGTGGAGTGTCGGGATCTGACCGTGTAAGAGGCAGAGACCAATCCGTGGACAGTAGTGGTCCTATGCTGCTCGTGCTCGTTGTATTCTCTATCATCTGTGCTTATCTTTTGTCTGCTTTGCGTAGCTCCTTTCCATCAGAATCGCCAGTTGATCGTACGAGGGCTCGCACAACAAATCTCACCAGCCACAACCCAGTCCCATGTATTAGTCCACGCTGTGTACGACCCAGAGATTGACTTCATGTCCCGAGACAAATTTCCGGGTCGGGCCTTCAGCGCCTCATGCACGAAGTTGTGGAAAAGTTATTTTTAGATGTAGGATTAAAGAAACAAAAAAGAACAATGTACTTCGTGCGCACAAATGTAGGTTGATGACGAAAGAAAGATAATGTACTGGATAATTTTCTACTGTCTTCATTTTTTTTCACTGACTTGTTAAGATCAGACGTTCCTCCCAGAGCAGCTAACTGAAACCTTGATCTGAAGAACAAGTGATGTGTTTCCATTTACAACCACAAGAACAAAGCAAAGATGTTGTTACTTGCTGTTCCTTTTTTGCGATGTCTCTGTGGTATGGACTCGATAGGCCTCAGTCAATTGGGTATACATAATGCCTTGACTCAAACCTTGTATGTTGTCTCCCACTCATTGTTCCACTCATCATCAACCATACACTAATTGTGAAGCTTTGCTTTGCTGCTTTTGTGATTTGGGCCGTCCGACCATTGTACGAACTCGCTCAACAGACGCTCAAATTCACAGACTGCTAGCTGGTATTGTGACAACGTCAATCGCAAGTTCATGGAGATGGAGATGCTTCGAGCGTAGGCCCAGCAAGTACTGTATGGGATGGTCGCTCTTGTTAGACTGCTAGTTCGTCCACTTGGGCTCATGAAGGAAAGAAAAGCGAGAAAGAAATAGAGAAAGAGAAAAAGAGATCTGACAGTCACTAGAGATTTGTTGGACCTTGCGAATGGTCTGTAGCTCATGCCAATCCATGGGGGTAGAAAAGTCTTTCAAAGAATAAGGGGGACTTCCCACCAGTTTCAAAACTCTATAAAATACACATGTGAGAAATTCAGTTTCCCCCTTGCACAGTAATATTCTGCCTCTCAATAAAACACCCTACATACTTAAAACGGCCCAGCTGCCCCATAGCCTGCACCAGTTCTCCATAGATCTTGGAAATTACTCAGTAACCATCTCACTGGGTTTGGATTTCCCGGGTTGAATCTGTGGGGAACCTGGTTGCTATGAAGAAACACCAGGTTCCGAGCCGATATGGGCCCTTGGGGGGTCATGACGTTTTGCAACCACTGAATTCCCGCGTTGTCACTGCCAAAGGATGATGCTCTGTACTTGGCCTCTGCTGCCTGGAGCCATACAGCAGCAGTGCCCTCAATTTCAGTCAGATGCTTGTCAATCCAGTAGCAGTATAGATCGCGCAGCCCTGCCATGGGATCGCCGACACCACGCTGTGGTCTACCTAGCTGTCCATTGTTCACAGCTCCGTTGCCGTTCCAATTGAAGCTAGTATCGAACTCGTGGAGCATCTCTTCCATGAACTGCGATGATTCGACGAACTTGGGCCAAATCCAGGTGTTGCGCATATACGAAAATACAGCAGCCGTGTTTCGGTGCATCTTTCGTGTGTTGAGGTTGTTATTTTCGTTGTCGGATGAAATAGTGTTGCCAGCGAACAAATGCTCTTTTCTACCGTTCATACCTTTATCGGCCAGTGCGAGGCCACCAAGGTTTTTGTCGCCCCCTAGGCCGTGGGTCATTTCGAAAAAAAGAGATTGCTCAACCCACCCAGGGGCTAGATGCGGAGCTATAATATTAGGATCCATTCCAATGAGAACGTAATCCACCCAAGCTCGTGTAGGAGCTATGTAGCCACCAGGGAGTGGCCCAGTAATAAGCCATTCAAAGAACGTTGGCAACAGTTGTACCTCGTAAATATGCTCAGCTTGTAGAAGTCAGTACCAGGATTTTTTGACCATGGAATGTGCATGATGCTAGAGGGAAAAACTTACTGACGTATTGCGAGGTATCTGTCTGGTCTCTATTAAGTTTCTCTATGGTCACTGGACATGGACCAGTCCCGCTTCTGAAGCCGAACCACTTGTTCACGCCACTTAATTTACTTGCCGCTGTGCAAGACTTGTAGGGCCCGCAAGGAAGGTATTGGCCCGCCCACTTGACATACTTTGTGTCGCGCTTCTCCAGGTGATGCAGTTCAGTTTCGTTCCCGACAATGCCATCGACCTGAATGTCGCGCTTGTTAGGGAGATCCGCAGAACAACTTACTCCCTTGCCGTAAGGATCAAGCCAGCAGGAGTCAGCACGCTTTTCGAGACTCTCGCCATCATCATCGCCACACAGTGGACATGGAGGAATATCGCCCACGTCAATAGCTCCTGGGCAGTTCAATCCCTCCAAGCGAGGCACTAAAGGACCATAGACTTTAGCCCTCTTCGCAAGTTCGCTCGTGGTGTTCCTGCTCTTGCCTTGCGTTATCGATGAACGTCTTCTAGAACCCCGCGTATTTTGAATATTGCTTTGAACATGCCCAGAATCCCGCTTTCTAGAGAGATCTATGCATGCTGGCTGATCACCAGTAGGATAAAGTTGAACATCGTCGATAGGGACAATAGGAAATGGTGATTTGGGAAGCGCCCAGCTGAACTCTGACGGGGCGTCAATAGTCGCATAAAGATCGGCTCCAGCATCCACACCGTAGCAGAACGAAGACTCGCTATTCACCTTCAACTCTGCATGGAAGGTGACATGACCGTCAGCTACAAGATTGACGGCACAGCTGTCAATTGGAATGAAGTCTTTGTTGAAATCGATACCAAATGTTATCGTCGGCTTAACATGGGCGGTAAGGTGGCCCTCAAGCGTAAGGCCATAATCGAACTCAGGCTCGAGCACATTCTGTGTGCCTTTCTTCTCCGGGGTTTTGGATGCTTCAGGGTCCCATTCGTCATTTGCTACTGGATAGGTCTGCCGGATATCCCACTCTGCAAGCTTAACTTTGCTCTCAAAGTTAACACCTAGTGTTGCTTGACCCTCAAGTCTTCCGAAGAGCTTGAAATTTGGGCCAATGGTGACGATGCCGGGTACTGCGAAGGCTGCGCCGAACTTGTCGGCAGAGAACATCATGATATCGCCGGTGTCAAACATGGCGGTGACAGCTGCGTCGATGACGAATGTAGCATCTACCTCGCCTTTGGTACGGAAGTACAGGAATGAATCGCTGAGGTCGATGAGTGTGCCAGGATTACCAAGTGTGGCAACAAGAGTAAAGCCGTAATTGACGTCGACATCGACATGACACTCTGCTTTCACTTCCAGCTTGGCGGCGACATTGGGGCAAGTCAGTCGCTGGTCGATGATCTTGAGGATGAAATCGTCGGAGTACGTGTGGCTGAGGTCTATTCCGCCAGAGACGCCATTTATGATACCCTTGAGCCAGTCAATAATGTCACTGCCGAACCAACGTTTGTGCAGTTCTTCTTTGGAAAGCCCCCCAAAGTGTGCGTCGTCTCGCCATTCCTCTTCCAGCCAACGTTTGTGACTGCCGCCTACTTCTTCCAAACTTCTCTTTCGTCGCTTACTACTAGCAGTCTTGTTGACGATATTGTTCCAATACTCTGGTTCGTTGCTGAAGTCAATTCTCATCTGAGTGTTGCCAAGATCGCGTGGGACTCTCTTGAATTGATAATCAAATGTTAGGTCGTAAATAGGATCAACCACTGTCATGCCGCGCTTCACTAGGTGGTGAGGCAAGCCCTGGTCTTTGCTGAGCTCAAGCGTCTTTACCACAGCATATTTGCCCGGTCCGCAGCCAGAGGGCATCTCGACAATGGTACCAGGAGCTCCGTGACCCAGGTATATCTTGTCGCAATTGGATGATTCGCTTCGATCAGTGCACATCATTCTCACAGTGTGCTCCCCCTCAGAAACTGAATCGAAACAATCGAAAACCTCCCAATGAGAGCCATCGCGCTTGTCGAGGGATACTTGTAGGGTGTCTGGACTCGTCAGGACAACGAAGCCAAAAGGTGCGTTATCAGGTTGCTCTGCGAATGGTACAGTGTTACTTCCACCGTAAGTTGGATCTGTCTTAAGGTTGAATTCGGTATCTGCTTCGGCCTCGGGCGGAGGGTTGCTGAAGAGAAAGTCGAGCGGTACCGGCAAGAATGGAGATTTCCCGTCTGGTGGATCGCAGCAGTACGTCCGTTGGCGATCAGAATGCCAAAAGCCGCAGTCTTCACCCTCTCCTTCATATAGGGTAGTTATGGCCACTTGCCAGCCAGTGTCACAGTGGTTATCGAAGCAGTTACCAGGCTTACCATGCCAAGCACAATTCTTCCACCCTTCTTCTTTGTTGCAGCAGAGCTTTCGTTTCTTATTCTTGCTGCATGTATCGTACGCCCATGTCATCTCATTGTGAGTGTCAGGACAGGAACCACCACAGTCAGTCCAGCCACAATCGGGCATTAGTGCTTCTGCCTTGCAGCAATAAAACTTGCGGCCATCTATACACTTGCCCCAGTCGCCGTATAGGGATGATTGTAGAGCGACCTCACCGGAATGGCATTGGCCATTACACCATGGCTCACCGCCCCTCCATTCGCTAGAAGTGGTCAGTATTTGACATTCAAGGACATGTCGAAGTTGAGACTTACCAGTCTTCTGCTTTGGGGGCTGATGCAAGTGGACAGCATAGTGTGGATATCCTGAAAGACCCATCCCAGAAATCCTCGTCCTCGCATTGGGTTTGCGTGACAGCAACCTCACCTAGTTTGCAGTCGCCAACCCCACATTCTGTAACTCTACATTGTCCTTCACCAGCGTCTTGCCAGTTGTCTGCTGTGGTTGCCTCCTCAGCTCTCGCTCCAAGCTGCTCGGGATATATAACCGCTTCGAGCGCATCAAGCTGTTTTGTGTCTAAATCAATAGCCCAAATGAGTATGCCACCGAGACCGAGGGCGTTGAAATATTCAATCTTTTGCTGGAAGGTCTCGAAGTCGTCATACGATACCCATTGATCACCGCCCCATGTGATATATTTGACACCGTGTTCTTTGTCATAATACGGGGTAAGGTCGTTGTCCTTGATAATATCCATGATCTCCGAATATGAGAGAGTTCCAGAATTTTCAGTACATATGCCGGGAGAGGCGCCGCCCTTGAAGGGGCAGCCGGGCTGCGAACATGCAGGATTTGCCAGCTGGAACGACCGGCCGTAGAAGCCGAGCCCCATGTTGATCTTCTCGGGGTCTACGCCATTCCGCCATAGGAGATCTAGAGCTTTACCAATCTCGGTGAGGTTCGTGTGAGCAAGAACCTGGGCCCCGATAGGGTTTTCACCATCCCAAACACCGTGCAAGTCATAAGCCATGACGTTGACAAAGTCCGCAGCTTCTGAGCTGGCTTTGATGTCAAAATGTCGCATGTACTGAGTAATGAGCCTTGGAGTCAGTATTTATTCTTTTCACCATTAAAGAGATTGCGAGACTGTACTCACCCAGTAACTAGTAGGAGCTGTAAAAGAGATCTCTTTGTGAGAACCACCTGACTTATCAAACTCGGCACGCATTTCCTTCATGAGTTTAGTAAGATTTTCGCCGTCATTAGGATTTCCACCACGGTCGGGAGCCCCTGGATATTCCCAATCCAAGTCTACACCATCGAAGCCGTAACGATTGAAGAAGGTGAGGAGCTTTTCGATGAATAGTGCCCGTTTAGTGGGTGTTGAGGACAAGTCGCTAAACACTGGCTGCCATATCGTATTGTTGTCATTGAAGGTCCAGCCGCCTAGGGCAATGACGACCTTGAGTGCTGGGTTCTTTTGCTTGAGACTAGCGAATTCAGTGAATGTGTCTGTGGATAGAGGTTTGCCGTCGTCCATGGGAATAATGTCGTATGTGCTTGGACGGATGTACCCAAATGAGTAGTATATGTGAGTTAAACTGCCGACTGGAATGTCTTGCATTCTCATGCCAATGCAGTTCTTCTGGTAGTTCCACGCCTCGTAGTATCCAATGATGCGTTTCTGAACATTGCCGCCCGATGCACCACTGTTCGGCTGTTCGCAGTTGCTCTGACAGCTTGTTTCCTCGTCGTCGGTAACCTTACAGAACTCATCTGTCATGCCACAGAATCCAAATTGACTGCAACAGACGTTCAGAGGACATTCCTTGTTGGGGGGATCCGAATTACGACCGCATTCAGCATGAGCATCGCAATTACTCCAACAAACATCGTTGGGAGACTGGCCGTTTGTTCCACAAGACTTCTCTCCAAAACCACAGTATCCAGATTTGGCGCAACAAGCTCCGTTGCTGCATGGTTTATTCTCGTTGCAAGAGTAGGGATCATCTGCTTGGCGTGCACTGAGGCCAGAGGGCTCAAAGCCAATGTTTGGCGACGTCGCTGGAGCTCGCGCCTTTGGAGTTACATGTTCATCAAGCCTACACACTCCCTCGGTAGGCTTAATCTTGGCGACTACATCGTCCTGATGGTAAAAGGCTGTTGGAATCGGTAAACAGATAGACTCCTGTATTGTGGCACCATTAGTTGCCCGTTGATGCTTATGGGCGTTTTTGTGATGATGACCATATCTAGGGGAGGCTGTGGCTGTGGTAGCCAGGAGAAGGTGGTGCCAGAGAAAGGATGACAAGTAGACCATGGTGGGCCACCATGGGCAAGCAGAGTGCTTTTAAATCCCTATGTGGCTTGTTAGTGAATGATATCCTTTCATCAAATTGTTTATTGTTAAGAAAATTTACCTTTTAAATTGCTTCAAGAACTACAGTTGACTGAGAAAACCAGAATGAAAGGTAATTTAACAACGGGGTTCATAGGAGAGATATTGGGCGGCTCGAAGAGACGGTTTGGCGTAACCATGTGGATACAAGAGGCATAGTAGGCTTTACAACCTCCCTCAGGCATTCTGCAGCAAATGTGGGTCAGCATTGATGAGACCAGTTCTTCACCCTGCATACCGATTGCAGGGTTGAAGTGCGGCTGCGGAGGCAGATTTGAACAAACCCCTTTTCCCTGCAGGGCAGATCAAGTTCTAAACCTCACATAGGCAGTTCCTTCGACCGTTAGTGAAGCCAAGAGACCAGGAGCAGATGAACTGCGCAGATTGTATGCAAGTGCCGAGGTGTGGTGTTTAGTGGGGCCGGGGGAGATTGCCGATCGTTCCTTGCAGATAGTGCAAAGATCAGGTACCAAAATGGACCCTGCAGTAAAAGGTTTATCTGCCAAGTGTAGCCTAAAGGATCTTCTTATGCTGCCAAGTACATCCAGATTCGTCTTATCCGGGGGAATAAGAAGATAGGGTGTTAACGGTGGGCGTAGTCAATCTATATTCGGAAGGATTTCCTTGGCAGCACTACCTAGTTAGGAATCATTCAGCGGCAATAAGTTTGAGATTTAATAGTGTTGCGACATGATTGGCTATTTGACCGTCAATCATAGGATACCCTGGTAGCTGTGCAATTTCTTGTAGAGATTCGATTGAGCAGGTAGGGATTGTTTGAAAGTAAGGCGTGCAGTACAGGATAATGGTTGATACTAATTTTGGCCCCCATTACCAAGGAAAAGCCAGTACTATTGGCTGGGCAAAGATGGAAAATCACACTTGGGGGCGGAAATGTCCATCTGATGCGCGGTGATCTACCCACATTCCTCAATTTTCTTTAATGTGAGACGAAATATTGCATGCAGGTGTGCGGATGTATGCACTCATCTAGGCCTCGGGAGCCATGGGACGGGACGCCCTCGCCTCGCCATTGGTGGCACCCCCTGATTTTGCCTCAGAGGCTGCTCTTATTCGCCACACTACGGCTCCCACTAACACTTTCGTTCATTTCTTATGACGAACACTATGGTGGCCTTATATGCACGCTCCCGGGGTAGAGGCGTCTCCGGGCAGCACGGGCTCCATATTCCTATGATGTATCAGATCCCATAGTAGTAGTGCTCGTGGACCGACAGTCCATCATCAGTAATGTCACTCATGATGTCGCTCCAAGCAGTTTTGCTGCGTGTGGCCATTTTCACACTTCTAGCAAGCTGCAATGCTTTTCAATTCATCACCAAAAACACATTGCCATCAAACGACCTCTCCGCTAATTGTATCGCCAGTTTGACAAAAGATATCCCGAACTGTCCACGCCAGATCAGCACGTTCGCAAAAGGGTCATATTTTGAAGCTGATGCTCTTGAAGAAGCATGTACAGCCGACTGCGCAGCCTCGATATCTGCGTATAGCTCAGCAGCCAATAACGCGTGCGGTCCTACGGATGTTTACAATATCACTGACACACGCACTGCACCAATCTCGTTCGTTCCAGAATTACTCTACTACTACTTCAACCGGACTTGCCTACAAGATGGAAATCGTTGGTGTAATCGAGTCGCATACGAGATGTCCAATGGTACTACCCCATCTTTACGAATGTTTAGTGTCAACGAGACTGCCAGTTTGAATGGATCTGCTGAAGCCATTCCCTCTCCAATCATTAGTAAGTCAATTAGCAATAACACCATAACCATCGTGCGTTCTAGAATCTGGATCATTGCACATTGCTGAAATCCCATGGATACCTATCTGACAATTTCATAGGAAGACAACAACAAATGGAGATCGACATGTGCGATAATTGTGTGATCAAGGCATACCAGTTCCAGGCCGGATCACCCATCAACGGCGGATACGCACTTCAGGCGAACTACAGCACTTTGACGGCGAGTTGCTCGAAAACTGGATTTCCTTTAGCGACCTCGACAGCCCCTTTTGAAGGGTAAGCAATCACTGTGAACATATCATGAACCATGGCTCTAACCTGACCAGGCCAACCCCCACCCCCGCTGCCCCGCAAAAATGTACCGGCAAGACTTACACAATTAAGTCTGGTGACACGTGCCGATCAATCTCCAAAGCCGAGAACATCGCTACGTCTTGGCTTCTTGCAGACAATGGTCTGAAGGCATATTGTGCAGAGTTCCCTACCACGGGTGACCTCTGCATTCAGAACACCTGCAGCACCTACACAGTCCAACAGGGTGACGTTTGTCTCGACATAGCAAAGGCGAACAGGATAAGCCAGGTGCAATTATATACATGTACGTCCGTTCATCCCAAGAAGAGTAGACCTCCTCAGAAACATCCAAACCAGCTTACTAAATTAACCCTTTGTGACCAGGGAACCCCGTCCTTGGATATCTGTGCAACAGGATCGAAAAGTCCGTCGGCGACACCATTTGTGTGACTCCGCCGGGTGACCAAGACTTCGAGCCCAACCCAACAACAACCTTAGTTCCCACGCCTATCCCCACTGCAACACCGACGGCAGTCCCAGTCCCCGGCGACCTCGCCAACGGCACAAACACTCATTGCGCCAAGTTCTACCAAGTCCAGCCAGAAGAATACTGCAACCTCCTCGTCATCAAATTCAGCATCAGCCTCGACGACTTCCGCTTCCTCAACCAAGGCATCAACGTCAATTGCACGAACCTATTTGCGTTTGAGAGCTATTGTGTCGAGCCTGTGGGCCCTGTCAATGAGTATCCGGGTCATCCAGACTACATGCCTCCTGCAACGTCGGTGGCGGAGATACCGTACAATAGCCTCCCCAAGGCAACGTTTACCGCGCCCCCAATACTCGGGTTGCCAACCCCATCGCCATTGGCGAAGGGGACAAGGAAAGATTGCTTTTTGTTCATGAACGGTGCGAATTTGACTGTTGACGAGACGCTACTGCAAACATATCCGTCGTCTTGTGCGGCGCTGGCTAAAGGGTGGGGGATTTCGTTGGAGCAGTTGGAGAATTGGTAAGTACTATTTTACTTGACAGCTATCGGTGGTAGATACTACTATGTAGAAAGACGCGCGCAGTACTGACACCAAACTAGGAACCCATCTCTCATGACCAACTCAACAGACTGCGCGCCATCAAAAGAGCTTCGATACTGCATGGCCGCTTACAACGGCGGATCGCCTGTGGATGTCACATTACCTGAAGAAGGGGAAGACTTCTATCCGATCAGAGCTGGTGTCATTGAGGGATGTGTCGAATACGAAGCTGTCGTCCCGCCAATGACGTGCCAATCGTTCCTCGATCGAAATCAGATCACCATCGCGCAGTTTTATAAAATGTCCGTTGTCAAAAACCCCCAGCCATTCTCCTCTCCCCCTTATCTCATCTTTCCCACTTTAAAATCGCAAACTTACAATAACACATCGGCTAATTCAATCATCGCATGCTAGGAATCCCGCAGTTGGCCCCGATTGCACAGGTCTATGGCTCAGTAAGCCCTCCCCCCCCTTCCCCATCCCCTCCACCATCCTTGTATAAATTCGATCCCATCTAACAATTCCCCTTAGAATACCGCTACTGCATCAGCACCGACGCCCTCCCCAGCGACGTAATCTCCAGCACCTTCACACCCACACCCACACCCACATCCGCACCACCCACGTCCACCGCGCCTGCAATACCCGGTCCCACGCACCCTGGTACAGTTGCCGGTTGCAATAAATGGCATGTTGTCGGTTGTAAGTAACCCCCTACTATCTCTGTTGCAAGACACTCCAATGTCCGCTTCAATGTTTTATAATGGGAGCTTGGCTAATGAGGGATGGTAGCGGGTGATTCGTGCTGGACTATTTCCCAGCTTTACGGTATTGGGCTTGATACGTTTTATAAATGGTGAGTTCCTTTTCATGAGAACATAAGCTGAGCTACGGTGCTAAGAAATTTGCGATGTAGGAACCCTGCCATCCAGAACGATTGCGCGACGAATTTCTGGCCGGACTATGCGTACTGTGTTGGAATCTCAGGTTAAGTTTGATTCTGCGTGTGCTGGTGTCGGGGAAGCAGGGTATTTAGGAAGTACAGTGTTTTTTTGTACTCGATATCAAGGGTGCACCGGGTATGCAGAGCAAGGGAATGGATGCATAATATAGGGAGCTGTAGTTGCCATTTATTCAGCAGAACATATCTGTTGACAAAGACATCTTGTGATGACCGCTATTCAATATATCTAGTGGAAGACGTGATACTAGTACCGACTTGATCGAGGCGACGGCCAGGCCATTTACATCCGATATCCCACTACTACCAAGTTGACCAACCACGCTCCACCGCCTCCTGCCACGGCTCATTCGTCTCATTCTTCGTCTTTCCATTCGCTGTTTCATGCATCGTCGTACCTACAAACGACCCACCAAAACCTTCCGTGTCGCTCTTCTGCATCGCATGCAGCGTGACCTGAACCGGTGGCAGGACCTCAGGTTCCCCCGCCTCTTCTGCAATCGGTGCATACTCTTCTTGCGGGATAGGGTCGAAGAAAACACGACGTACTGGCTGCTTATCCGTGCGCCAGTTGGGTCCCTGGTAGTTGTAGAGACGTCCATGGTGGAAGTCGCCGTATGGGTGGTCGATGTAGCTTGGCACGAAGCCAGGTAGACCTCCAGTACCGGTGCTGCTCTCAGCGTCGACCGCTTCAATCTGGTGCATGTAGTCTCCCCGGCTGCGCTTCTCCTCGCGATAATGCGCGATACAGGCCTCGTCAGATGCAGCGTCTTCACCTGGAGCAGGCAGAAAGAATATCTCTAGACGGAAAGGACAAGGGTAGTTTTCCAGTGGGGTACCGCGTCTGATGGCATCTAAAAGCTCGTTTGGCTGGACGTTTTCTGCACTCACGTCTTTGTGCGTGAAGTACATGACGAAGCTGTAGAGCGGGGGAAGCGGGCATGTTTCTCGGCCTTCAAAGACTATCAATGCCTCTTTTCCCGTATGGTCTGTGAACGGGAGAACGTGTGTCTTTTTGCGTTGGATGCGGCCACGTGCGCCCATGCCCCCTCTGCCAACGAATCCGCTTCCACGTGTTGTCATGCTGGGCTTGAGTGGGATGAGAGTGAAGTCTACGGCTGCGGCCTGGAGAAGGTGGAAGAAAGCAGTGTTATGTAGTTCTAGTGGTTCCTGCAGCTGTGGTGTTGTGGTGGTGTTAGAATACTGTACGCGCTACGTACGTAGTAAGTACGCAGCTTTAGCGAGATTCGCTAGCGATCCGTCCCGTGAACATCACGACTAAGTATCTGTACACTATCAAAGTTCTGCTACTCGTGGTATATCAAAACCGCACAAGTAGCCTAACGATAAACGCTGCGATGCCGCTGTAAGGTGATAAGCGTGCTGGGGAAAATTATTATACATCTCGAGGTGAAGGCGCTTGTATAATACTTGACGTGTGCAAGTGTTTCCATGACTAGTTTGAAATTATGACTATGTCTAATAATGTCTTCTCCCTATAGACGATATTTTGTCGGCTTAGATCATCCCTTCTTGGCTTGCGATGGTCAATTATGTTATATTTCTTTACCTAAATTCTTTTCTCATCTTGTAAGATGTTATATCTCTTTATTAGTACGCTGGCTTGATTATATCGGGAGCAAGTTGTTCTGTGTGCGGATGATGGCTTCCCTCATCGTCGCCATGCTATAGGTTTTAACAAAAAAATCAAGAACTTTGCTGCTCCATTTTTTATGTTTATCATTTGTATATGTCCCTGTATTTAGTTCCGCCTCCGTGGAACGATTTCTCGTACCGTGCTTACTGCTTGTGATTCCGCGTACAGACACGCTATGTTAGTGCGTCGGTTATTCTACCGGGCTTCAACGGCCTAAGCAACGGTAATGTCTGGTACCGCCCCGCATTCGGTAAAAATAGCCTACTGAATTGCGAATTTGGTAAGTATAGACATACCTTGTTAGTCTGGTACTGGGTAGCATAAGCAAATGTAGTGACGTGTCTATTTGGCCAGATTATCATGTGTCGTCGTCCTTTTGAGTTTCTCGTCGTATTAGTACCTTCTTACCACATGCTCCTTGTATGTCGGCGCTTCTCCTTTTTTCTTTCTTTAAGTAACAATTATGAAGCGTCTTTCACGCTTAGCCCGGGTGTTTACGGCACCCACGTTACGAAACCGCCGATTGTACAGCCAGCACGCCATCTCATCGCAAATCTCCAGAAAGTCACCGAGAGTTGGAATCTACGTCGTTGCCCTTCTCGCGTCGGCAAGCACGGCTTTCTACGCCGGTTCTCAATTACAACCCACAGTGGGGACAGCATCGCAGCAGGCGATAATTGCAAAGCAAAAACCTCTGTATGCGAGTCGAGCTGAGTTGGAAAAGGTGCGTCAGGATTTCAAAAGGGCGCTCACAGAAACATATTAAGAATTAAGGCTATCGCAGAGTTGGCAAGCGAGTTGGGAAGCGATGCCATCACTACTGACGACGATGAACTGCGAAGACATGGCTATTCTGAATGGTCCTCGATCAACATCGAGCGTATGCCCGTTGCGATTGCGTACCCAAAGTCGACTGGCCAGGTGTCGAAGATTGCAAAAGTGTGCGCACGCTTCAAGATCCCGATGGGTAAGACATGTCAAAGTGCTCGATGGCACAAGTGGAAGAAGTTGCTCTGACTTGCAACAATGTGCACAGTTCCCTACTCTGGCGGGTCTTCTGTTGAAGGCAACTTTTCTGCTCCGTACGGTGGTATCTGCATCGATTTTGCCAACATGGACAAGATAGTCGCACTTCATGAAAGCGATATGGATGTTGTGGTACAGCCGGGGATTGGGTGGATGGAGATGAATCGACAGATTAAACCATGCGGTCTTTTCTTCCCCGTAGATCCTGGGCCCAGCGCGATGATCGGAGGGATGGTGGGCACAAGCTGCTCGGGTACAAACGCAGTCCGCTACGGCACAATGAAGGACAACGTCATCAACCTGACTGTTGTGTTGGCGGATGGCTCTATAATCAAGACGCGACATAGGCCGAGAAAGACTGCTGCGGGCTACAACCTAACCAGTCTTTTCGTTGGGAGCGAAGGCACACTCGGCATCGTCACAGAAGTCACGCTCAAGTTGGCCCCGATTCCAGCGGAGACAAAGGTGGGCCTTGCTACGTTTCCCTCGGTGCGCGATGCCAGCAATGCCGCTACAGCAATTCTTCGCGCGGGAATCCAAATGGGAGCCATGGAGATCATGGATGAGGTGCAAATGGATGTGGTCAACCGGGCTGGAGGGACGGACAGGAAGTGGGAGGTGATGCCCACTATGCTGGTCAAGTTCATCGGCAGCTCGGGCCAGATCGCGGAGACGACACGTCAATTTAGTGAGATTGCAACTAGCAATGGCGGAGGCACACTGCAGTTCGCGTCGACAGCCGAGGAGCAGGCAAGCCTCTGGGCGGCGCGCAAGCAGGCGCTGTGGTCAATACTGTCGCTGCGCGAGCGCGACGAAGAGGTTTGGACGACAGATGTGGCGGTGCCCATTTCACGGCTACCTGAACTCATCGACATGAGCAAAAAAGAGGTGGCGGCACTGGGGCTGTTTGCTTGCATCGTTGGCCATATTGGTGATGGCAACTTTCATGCGGCGATACTGTTTGATGGGCGCAACGCAGAGCAGCGGGCGCGGGTGGCTGGATGCGCCGAACGCATGGTTACGCGCGCGTTGGAGATGGAGGGCACATGCACAGGCGAACATGGCATCGGCATTGGTAAAAAAGGCTTCTTGAAAGCTGAGCTGGGCGCGGGCGGGATTGCCATGATGCAGAAGGTGAAGGAGTCGTTGGATCCGCTCTGGATCATGAACCCGGGCAAGGTGTTTGACCATCCGCTGGAAGATAGGCCAGTCGGGCACTGAGGTGAGGGTGCTGTACGTCGTCTATACCGTGTCTGCAAATCTATTATGCCCTTTTCCTGGCGTTAGTAAAGTCATTTTTTTGTCTGTAATCTAAGTCGGTAGTAATCTCGACAGCTATACTTGAATAGAGTTATGGTTAAGTGGCTCAATTCTGCTTATTCTAGGGACGCCCTATAGGTCCAACCAACGCTGACTGGTCAGGCAAAGTATGATTGCAGACATGGTGCACTACTGTACCAAAATGCTCAATTTCGTCTTGTTCCAACTGCACATAGATACTACAATTGTAGTAGTCTGATTCCATTCTGTTTTGGCCACCGAGTGCCGACATTAGACTCCGCTGGTACCCCCTCACGTGTGCGGGGATCCATCCACCTATCAGACCTTATCAGACCCATTGTCCAAAGCGCTCGTGAATAGTTACCTATGTGCTGTACTCATTCCTCAACACCCATCATGCACTCTCGCATGGCGAGGAAAAAGACTTGCCATATCGCATCTTGACTGCCTAAATATGTTTAAGCACGCTCGGAGCAGAGGTACGTACGTCATGACGCCCTGGGTGGCACACCGCAACTAACTGCCGTCCTGCAGACGGCTGCGGAGCCTGCCGGCAAAAAGTAAATCTCCACCGCCGTCCGGTCTTGTCTTATGCACAGAGAAGCTGATATTCCCACTCTTACAGCGCATCAAATGCGATGAGACCCGGCCAAACTGTCGAAACTGTCAAGGGCGCAATGTTCAGTGCCCCGGCTTCGCTCGCCAGTTGCGATGGAAGTCAACATCCCTCATGTGGGGAGCTGTCCGCAAGCACCCACGCAAGACGTTGGCCATGCAGCAATTGTCGTCTGCTCCCTTGAACAGCTTTACGCAAGTAGCCGCTGAACCCCTGAGCCCGGATCCGTCTACCTCAAAGACCATGGTCGTTGACCAAAGTTGGCCACAGAAGCCCACCATGCACACCAACGCCCATGATAGCCCTTTCGCCCATGATCACGCGTCATTGCATTCTCTGCCCGTCCTACCTGTCACTAGTCTTCAGACAAGCACCCTTGATCAGCGTCCTACTGCCGTCAAAGAGAGCGAGCAACGGCACCAGGCCAACGTCGCTTCACCCACATCCCCGCTGCATACTCGTGTTTCGCAACAGCCCGTCTCCCTACATAGTTCCACAGTGCGCAGCGACGATTATTTGCACCAGGCTGAGATTGCTTCCCCTGTGCAGATTCTATCATCAGATGAGTCTTCTTCCCCTCCCACAGCAGCGTCCAGCGCGTATGAACTTTCCGAAGATACGCCGCGTTCCACATCAGCCTCTCCAGACACGAGGATAGATAGTGGAGGAAATCAGTACCAGACTTTGGTGCTTGACGCTATCGAATCTGCGCTTGGGCTGACGCCTAGCCATGCTTGGCTGTGTGGCACCGAGCAGCAATCTGCTGAAGACTCGGACTTCCATGTATGCGCTGCGGCAGCACAAGTTGGCCAGCAATGTGTCGATTCCGATAACTTCGTCTTGGCGAGTACATTGTGGCAGCGCAACATCTGGACAGAAACCGAAACCGAGAACAACTTGACCGTGCACTACTTTGATAACACCTGTCCAATGGTGTCGTGCTTCGACTCTCGTCAAAGCCCTTTCCGCAAAGATATACCACGGATAATGCTCACCTGCGAATACTTGAACGACTGCATCAAAGCTCTGTCCGCAGCACACCTAGCGAATTCGATTCGCGGCATGGACAATGTCGCCCTAAGATACCAGACCAAAGCAATAAGAGGCCTCATGTCCGTTCTTCAAACGCTACAATTTCCAAGTCACCACAAAAGTAGCGACAATGGCCTGTCACGCGTATCGGCCACATTCGCACGATATCAAGCGCTAATGGCCGCTCTGCTACTTGCAAACAGCGCAGTAAGAGGAAAAAGACATTCCAAGTACACTATAGTGCTTCAAGACTAACACATTTCAAGGCCTGGGTTGATGCTTCTGCAATTGGTTTGACCCATCATCGTGGCGCGAGACTTCTTTTCCAGGCATGGTTGTTGGACGAAGGAATCCACGATACGCCAAAAGACCCTGTCGTACTGGATCGTGAACAATCCTTCATCATAGGCGCCATTGTGCATCAGGAATGTCTGCTGTCCATAGTCATTGATCAGCCTGTTGAATCGCTGCAATACCTGCTGCATTTTGCTACACTTGCCCAAGAACAAAGAGTGCATCCCCATCCCTTCACAGGTATCAGTACTCCCCTGTTCATCTACCTTGCTGAAAGCTTTGCGCTTGTTAGGCAAAAGCGGAATTTGATGTCTCAGGGAGAGCGAGGCTCCGATTATGATGTTCAAATTTCCAGAAGAGCCAGGGAACTGTACATGCTCGTCTTGGCTCACCGCCCCCCTTTGGTAACATCCGTGGATGACACTCAGGATCCAAACACTCCTCTCTCCCATCTATTCGCCGTGGACGCGATGCTCCGCCTGGTGATTTTGTTGGAGCTCATACAGAGTTTTCCCAAAGTCACCCTAGATGATGCGCCCACACGCCAAGTGAGGCAAACAAGACTAGACCTCGCCATCGCGATACTGACTATCGTATCCGATTTACCCGAACCATCTGGTGCGAACATCATCATATCTATTCCCCTTCTATCCGCAGGTAGCGCACTACAGTCTACCGAAAGCACTCCAAGGAACATCCATCAGGGTTACGACCTCAGCTCCAATAGCCTCGATGCACTCCGTAGCCAAATAGCTGCTTTGATGCATCGGCCCGCTACGCTGCAAATGTGGCGGGATCAAGTGTCATGGCGCGTCGAGCGATTACGCTCTCGCGTCAACGTAGCCCCCGTGAAACGGATAAGTGCAATCTTGGAAGCAGTCTGGCATCAAGCAGACAAAGCGGCCAACTCTGGGACATGTACGTCAAGAAACATGGTCCATTGGATGGATGTTATGATTGAAGGGCGACTTGAAACGTTGTTTGGGTAGGTGCGAAGTCTTTATCAGTAGCTCGCAAATCATCGGGCTGAGGTCAGCGCCACAATTGCGGCGGGATCTTCCTTGTTTTGTTACCATCAATATTTAAATATATGTATATTTTACATAGGCATCCTTGAAGCGGCAGTCATACGACTACTACAACTAACCTTCTGCTCATCTCTGTGTGTGCATCAGCGAGTTTAGGATATGCTTTTAGTCCTTTCCTGTGTTAGCAACCGATACGTAAAGCCAACAGGATAAGCACTCCGTATAGGGCTAGTAGTAATGTCCCCAAACCGCACTAGCTACTTACAAACTCGCGGATCTACTTACGGTGCAGCGGCTCTGGCTCCGTAGATTGCGGCAAAGTGGAGACGTGCAGCGCGGAATTGGAAACGTGCCCAAGACACTGCGCTATCAGGCGGAAAGCTTCCGTCCAGCCTAAGCTAACTGTGTATTTGCCTTACCTAAAAGAAATTATCCCCGCAAGTGGATCCTAGAGATAAGTAGACTGAGGTAGTTTGGGGCCCTTTATCATTGAATGTATGACGAATGGAAGATGCTATACTCGTTACACGTGACTAAATTGGTGACGTTGAAGGACGTACCTGGACTTCCTGCACAGCTAAATAGTTTCTTATCTTTTGCTAGGTTTTACTACGTATCTGGCTTTAATACTTTATTGTAGAGACATCGTGAACAGAGTATACGCACTACTGGGTTTTTACAGTTTATAAACCTAGGCAAAATGTTCAATGGTACCCATTCTTACTATAGAAAAGTTAACTACACAGCTAGTAATATATCCTAACAGCGTCTTCCAAAACACCTATGGCTATTTATATCGCAACATCCAACACTGCCGAGACACCTCGCTCAAGACTCTTCACCGCCCCATTCAGTGCTGCCTCAAATCCGAACACATTGATTACACGGGCACCAAATATTTTTCCGTTACTCGCAGCCCTCGCTATGCCCGCATAGTCTGGACTCGGGGCGAAAGAAATATTAAGCTCCTCCTTGGTAGCTCTCGATGCAGGGCCATCAGGATGCACCAGCAGCATAGATCTCCGTGGCGCGTTCCAACCCAGATTGTTAAGAACGATAGTCAGCACGGGGATCTGGTAGCGGGCAGAGATCCAATATACACTCGATGGAACACTGAACATATAAGACCCGTCGCCCACGATCTGCACTACGAATCTCTTCCGCTTCCCAGGGACCAAAGCATCAGCTGCGTCTGCTGCGAGCTTGATACCTAAAGCGCCGCCGCCGCTCCATCCGAGGCCCCCGCCTCCACAGTGAATCCATTGACCTGGAAGCGTGGCGCGGATTTGATCAGCAACTGCAATCGTATTTGTGATTGCTTCTACCGCGAAGATGGTATCTTGAGGCAACTTTCGCCGCACAGTGGAGCAGATGTAATCAGCCGTGAGAGTCCCATTGTCTGAAGGCTTAGCCCGCTCATCAAGCACGCAAATGCGTTCGTTGTATGACTGCACAAGAGCCTCAGCCCGGCTATCGACTTCGGCAGTTGCAAGCTGCTTGGCCAGAGGACCACGAATGTATTCGGTGATCTGCTCCAGCGCGACTTGTGTATCCACGCGATAACGCTGCTGGGCATCGATGTAGAACATCAGCATAGATCCCTTCAGCGGATCAACATCAAGATGGAACACCTTTGCTGAAGCCTTGGGTTTGCAAAGCTTGTTGATCCAGGGTACGTCGCAGTCGAGTATAAGGAAGGCATCGGCATTCTCGATCGCAGAGTCCACGCCGTATTTCATTCCTAGCCATCCGGGGTGGTCCGCGGGAAAACACATGTCTGAGCAACCCGTATCGAGCACGCGAAGTCCTCGTACAGTATTGGCTAGTGATACAAGGGATTGTACCGCAGCGTGGTTACGCCCGGTAAAGCCAACAATGACAAGAGGATCAGATGCGTTGACCAGAGCCTCGGCAATCTCACACACAGCCTCCTGTGGTAGAGCTGCAGGAGCAATCGGCCTCCAGAATGCAGAGTTGATGCTATAGGGTTCGATAGTCTCTTCCATGACCTCCCTCGCCCCCATAAGGTAAGACGGTCCTTGGGGGTGACTAGTAGCAAGTTGGAGCGCACGACGCACCATCTGCTTTACATTTTTCCCTGTTTTAATCTCTCCAACATACCGACAGTACTGGGCCACAATCTGCTTCTGATCAGGTACATCCTGTATCCAATGGCTTTCGGAACCCATTAGCCCTATTCATAGCAAACAGTCTTTGGAGTGGGGACAACAAACTCACATGAACTCCGTTCTCGAACCAAGAGTTTCGCCTTCAATGGTATACGGTGAGAGACCGGCGAAGATCAGAACGGGGGCCCGACCCATGGCTGCGTTGTGAACAGCGGCTGCTAGTGCCAATGTGCCGACGTCCACATGCACAATGACACACTGGGCCTCGCCGCTCAGCCTGGCGTATCCGTCCGCCATGGATAGCGCCACCATTTCATTTGGACATGTGATTATCTTTGGGAATTTATCTGGGAGCTCCTTCTGGCCCTTGACGATGGCTTCGAGAATGCTGGGGTGGTCGGAACCGAGGTTTACGAAGCAATTCTTGACCCCTGCTTCGATTAGGGCTTCGAAGAAGGCAAAGGATGTTGTGTACCTAAGGGGGGTTTTGAGCTTAGTAAGGAGTGTGGTGGGGCGTTGAAGGTGCATACTGACATGTTGATTTGAGATACTGATCACAGGTTGAGTGTTTAGTGTCAGCTCAGGAAAGAAGACCCTGTGAATCCTTTTATAAAGGTTACGGTTTTCTTATATCCGATACTAGCAACTTAGGGTGTGGCATGCCATTCTTTTCTAAGAAATAACAATCTGATGTGCTAGACGCAAAAGGGAAATAAAAGCTTTGAGTAAAGAAGGTTAGAATAGCCTGCAAGATACGTCTGAAGTGGGACTGAACATCACATGGATGCTTCTCAGGCGCGGGGCTTGGTTCGGCAGCTCTGGTCGGTAACTATTGTCGGTAGCTCTTCTAAAGATTTGCTCTAGAAGGACTAGTAGGTTATTATTGATCACCAATTGAAATCACCCTTGTGAACGATATAGAGAACGGGTACGCTGAAAGTTCTGTCATGTGTGGAGGGAAGGGGCAGAAGTGAAGATTGTTTATCTCTCAATGGCGATATCCACAATTCTGTTGTTACGTACATATATATCAGATTCACACAAAGTGCTGGTAGCAATTTAAGAGCCGAAAATTCGAAGAAATTCGATCATTAGATAGATTGAAAGGGATCAAAACAGTCCTTCTAAAATCAAAATATAGATATAGTTTGGAATGAATGAGGCTGGAGCACTTTTTCAAATTACAATGCAATCAGATCTTCTAGCTGTGGTCCGTGATAATGTTTCCTTGCATGCAAGAACCAGTTTGCAACAATAAAGATGCCTATCACTGCAAGAACAGCTGGCGCGTAATCTGGAGCTGTCAGAAATGTCAAACTTATAAGAAGGCCAGAAGTATCGAACTCACTCATGTTCGACCCGGTCACTGGTCTGGCCGGAGGGAAACAATAGAAGACGAGGCAGAAAAGAGCAAATGCAACGGTGACGACGTTTGCGACCCAGCCAAAAGCAATCGGCAACCCAAAGGTACGGTTGGGCGGTAAAAAGCGTTTTGGTCGACCCGTTAATAATAATAGCGCTGCAGGAAATGCGAATGTGACAAGCTGAAGGATGAGGCCTGTACCAATAAATGCGTTGAAGGCTGTTGAAGACCCGAGGTAGACACATCCAATAAGGAATGTCATGACTCCATTTGCACAGAGAGCCCATATGGGAACCTGCCATCGTTCGTCTATGAGGGCGATCTTCGAAGAGGCAACCAAACCAGAGTCGCGGGCAAATGACCAAGTCAGGCGCGAGGCGGTCTGCTGGCACCCTGAGACGGCCATGTATCCAGCTACATGTGTGAAGACTAAGAAAGCAGTTGCTGCAGCCTCGGAATCCATTGCTTGGCGCCAAAGTTCGAAAATAGGGAAGCTGCACAAATGTCAGTACGATATTCTGTCGATTCGCTTAATGTGACGTATTACCCACTCTTTGTTGTCGCAACCGCCGTGAAGTCTTGGACGGCATACATGGATGCAACCGCTACTATGAAGGATGTCAGAAATCCTATGCCCCAGATCGACACAAGAGCTTTGGGGACGGCTGTTCGAGCATTACGAGCTTCTTCTGCTAGATGGATGGCTCCATCTATTCCAGCATACATGTAACCTGGAGTAAGAAGCCCAATAAAAAATACCAGTCCTTTGTTGTCCCAACCGCTCAAGTCAACGAATGTAACCCAAACGGCTTTACTCGATTGGAAATGAGGGGCTCGTGCTAGAGAAGTGACTGTGGCGGCTATGAAAGCAGCGAGCGATAACGCAACTATATCGTGTAGAGTTAGTGCCATGGTCATCTCATGAATATTATATGAAATACTTGCAAATGACTTCGAACAGCCACATAGTCCGTCGGAGGCTGAAAATGTTGTGCAGCAGGCACATCACACATACAGACTGGTAGATCAGGAACACATGCCACCGCTCGACCTCGTAGGAAGGGTTGTAGGTGATAACAAGAGCCAGTAATTGTTGCGGAAGGATGATGGCCACGCCGGCAGAAAGCGCCCCCCAGGCAAATATGTTGATCATACCGCATGCGTAGCTCTGGAAACACGTCATGTCAGTATTCCGAATCAAACCCCCAGATCCAAAACATTTGTCAGGAAGGTCCCCTTACCGTAGCACGAGCGCACCACTTCGGGGCCACAACCGCCGTCCAATGGTACCTGTTCAAGCTTTCAGTGCTGTATCTGGCTCGAAAGACCCGAGTAGAAGAAAACTTACTGACCGCCCGCTGAAGGATAAACACGGGCTAACTCCGCCAACGTATACACCACAAAGCCGTACATGATGAAGACGAACCAGAGGCCATAGAGAAGACCCGGCGACCCGCCATTTGCGACGTTGAACGCGAGTGTTGACAGAACGCCCACCCAGCTGTTGCAAATGCTCCAGCCTATCGATGCGATTTCGAGGGCGGTGATATCACGCGTGGTGGTTTCGGACACATAGCCTTCCTGGTACGAGTCTCTTTTCCCACGACCGGCTGTGTCGCGATAATTTTGCGGTAAGCGACTGATTTGATTGTTACATTTGCCTCAAGGCCCACGCACGTACCGGATATGGATCCAGACTGCGTCAGCAGTTCCAATGGCTTGTCATCGATACCAGACATGCGTGCTCTTTCACAGTCTCCGCTGCTTATCATATTAAGTGTTTCGCACAACTCTCGATGCTGTCGACGTGGAACGGATAGTGAACGCCTGGATCAACCCTTTTGACCAAGCCGAGGGGAGGGGCAAAATACATGGGACACTTTGGAGTACGTGGACACTAGTAGTGTTGTATAAGAAGCATATGTCGTATTAGTACGGACTGGGCCACTCCCAGCTGTGGCTTATCACAATATCGCCGTGAGAAAACGTCCGTCTTATCTTATTGGATCCACTCAATTCCGTCTATCACTGTTTGCGGCGTTTTGCGGATCTGGGGAAATGCGGAGATTGACAGGCAGGTGATGGTGCACGGGCCTCGGATGCAATTACCGCATTGGGGTTGGGCAGTGGGGAAAAGGCGTCCTGTGGGTTCAAGGGTCGCAAGTCATAGGCATGGGTCTGTGTCCGATACGGCTCGCATTACCTTCTTGGTCTTGTGGGGAATATTCATACGTTGATATAACTTGGGGCGAAATGGCTCCACCATGGCTACAGCTTTGATAGTTAAACTATAGTGCTCTCGATTATTACCATGTCGCACACGAAAGAAGGCCACAAGTACGATTCGTCGGGGATATCGAAAGGTCTGAGAACTGACGCTGTTGTGTCAAGCACAGCAAACTTGAGGTAAGTAAAGCTTATGAACAGGGGACTTTCTACTAGCATTACCTTTTGGCAAAAGATAGTGTTGAGACGTACGTACCTCATGTAGTGCCAATATCTGACCGCTTCTACAGGAGCAACTACGATGTTATCGTGATCGGGAGTGGATTCTGCGGTCTTGTTGCTGCTCGTAACCTGGCCTTGAATCGTGACCTAAAAGTACTACTTCTGGAAGCTCGTGATCGCATTGGCGGTCGCACATGGACAGCGAAGGAATGGGGAGAAGACATTGAACTGGGGGGCACATATGTGCATTGGTAATTAAACACTCTGTGGAAGAGGGTGTGTGACGCTAAGCTAATAAATTTTGCCAGGCATCAACCCCATGTCTACGCTGAAATACATCGACACGGCCTGGAGAGGTACCTTAAGACCTCAGCTGGAACAACAGACATGGAATATGTGTTATATAAGCCAGAAGGATCAAGTGTGCAAAGGATAGACGACGTCGCTGGATACAACGCGAAGGTCGAGAAAATCGCCGAGAAATTCTTTAGCATCGATGGCATGACTCCACGCCAGGTGATGCCTTACCCACATGAACCTTCACGACCTCAGCCATGGCAGAAATCTGACCACCTAAGCTGTCAAGACCGACTCAACCAGCTGGACTTACCGCAATCCGACAAGGATCTTTTTGTCCCCCATACAAACTCCTTCGGCAGTTGCACTGCTCAAGACCTAGCGTGGACAGATGCATTGCGATGGTATGCTGTTGGTGGTTATAGCCTCGCGACTATGTACGATGCAGTTGGTGGCTTCAAACTCGGTGGCGGAGGTACGACAAACATGTGCCGTCATATATTAGCAGAGTATCAAGGCGACAGAGTCTTCAACAAGGCAGTCACTTCTGTCAAGCAGGCCAAAGACTATAAAAAGGTTGTCATTGCCTGTGCGGATGGATCTGCTTACAGCGCAAAACGTGTTGTTTGCACCATTCCCCTCAACTGCTTGGCCGACATCGAGTTCGAGCCACCGCTCGCACCTTTGAAGCAAAATGCAGTTAAAAGCGGCCATATCAACTATGGTGAGAAGTATATAGTCTCGTTGGATGAGGTGCAAGGCAATTGGTTCGCAAACACTTGCGATTCAAAAGATAGTGGTTTCCTTTTCGGGATCAAGGATCACGATGGTATGTACAAGTCTCTAGCGTGACTCAAATTGCGTCATAAACTGACGAGATTAGGCACACAATCCGCAAACCGAGCAGGCACATATGCCATGATGTTTGGCCAGAGTGGAAAGCTTCAAGACCCCACAAACAGCGATGAGATCATTGCTGAGTTTAAAAAGATTCAGCCTAATGGCAATGTGCGGGGATACGCATCTCACACGTGGTCGAAAGATCCATATGCCAAAGGCGCATGGTTTGCTGCTTCTCCTGGATGGGCTACCAAAAACCTAAAGGCGCTCCAGGAGCCCCATGGCCGTGTGTTCATGGCGAGTGCAGACTGGGCACAAGGCTGGAGAGGTTTCATTGATGGTGCCATTGAACAAGGTACGAGGGCGGCTGCAGTTACTAAGTTGGCGCTCGAACAGGAAGATGGGGATGTGAATTCTAAGCTCTAGGCTGGAAGTAACTTGAGATTATCAAAAGCGTCTGGATACTTGTATGCAGTCTTTAGTTTGGTCATGGGCAACCGATCATACTTCTCTTCGCATTGTCTACAACATAATAAAAGAGGAGTTGCGTCGGCGACTTATTCAATCTACTGCTCAATCGCCGTCATAATCTGATTGCTCGCGCATATTGGCGTGTTTACAACATTCGCTCCCATGGGGCCCTCGCCATAGAAAACATCGTGATTGCACTTGTAGCCCTATGAGCTGCAAAGGAATGGTGCCAATTCATTGTAATATGAAACTCTCCTAGAGTCAATCACCAGCGTTTCGAAGATCTCTGGAATTTTATTAAGAGAACACTTATCTGGTGAGAAAGAGTTTGGAGAACACGAAGTGATAGCGCATTATCTCCGTGTCGCGAGTGCTTTCAATTGCTGTACGAAGTGCTTTAGATAAGTTTATCGAAATGGACAAAAACGCTGTTACGTGGCCGCACCGGTGCAACCGACGTCGGCTTCCAGAAAGAAACGTCTTATCTACATGATTTGCGATGCTGATAGTTACGCGATTCCTTATCATATCATTCGGAACAGCATTCTCCTTAAAATCGACCTTATCAGTATGTACGTGCCACTATCTTCCAAGATAAAGTCGGCTATTGTAAGCAATCGACATTTTAGATGTATCGAGTTATGTTCCTGCTTGACATGTCGCTAGGACAATATCTAAATCGAGCATGGTTAGTCGATGGCAAACCACGTGCCTTTACATGGTATCCTGGAGTTGTAGATAATCTATGCCATTGTTGTCTAGCATACCGATTGGACAGCAACCCCGCAAAAGTCGGCGAATCGGCTAGACAATGTCTGGCGTTACCACTTTGGGAAGATTTAGCCAGCAGGTACTGCGTTTTGACTAGTTGGGGCTCCTGAACTATGAGACGAAGGTCACCCAGAGAGCTTAAAGCATCGATATCTTTTTGCTATCTACGTACATTACTATCTAAATCCACGTTTGAACGAGACAGCCAATCATTCTGCTCTTGTTGTCCAAACTTTGGAAACTGTCGCAAATATGCCAGTCGAATACAAGTCTGCGGCTCAGAGATACAAGATCACTGATCAAGTCGACAGATATGTTTTCTTCGGTTAGTTCAGTCCCTCTTATCTCTTTTGAGAAACGACGGGAAATTAAATATTGATTGTTACGTTTGCTAGATGATATATTTAACTCTAAGGGAGAGTCCGCTCAAGACCCATTAGCTGGAATATGGTTCCGTATAGAGAAGGGCCCGCCAGTTGGTCCTGGGGTTCATGGCTATGATGAGAGTGGCGTTGTATACGAAGGTATGTCATCACTGTTTTAGAGGATTCCAAATCTCCGTGATCAAAACTGCAGAATTCTGACATTATCAAGGCACGGTTACTCTGACTGACGAGACTGGAGTAGAGAAAAAATTGGGCCCTGGAGACAGCTTTTTTATTCATCGCGGCAGCAAAGTTCTATTCTCTTCGGATGATTACGGGGTGTGTTTCAAGTGTGCGGCACGCTCTAAGGGAAAATTGTAATCATTGAAGTAACCGTGATTGCGAGCGGTGACATGTAATTTTGGCCCCATCTTCAAGTTTCGAACTTTCTCCTATCAACGAAATGTTCTACCTCTCACTATCGTTAGTCTCGAATGACCAATAAAACTTCTCATCATTCTACGCCCTCTTTACCAACATATACATTGGTCAAGTTGTAACCCGCTGTGGCACCATCTCGTATGGACGTCGAGACTTAGGTACCCGCTCTGACTCGTTCTACAGCATGAACAAATTAACAGAAAGAATTAAACAGACTAGCAAGCTTAGTTAAGTGAAATTTTGACATAACAGTACCTAGTGTACCGCGACATGGACTTGCTTCAAGTAAGCGGCCATGGAAAATAGACAACAGTAACTAGCCTAAATACGGATATCATCATCATGCCTAAACATTCCACCCTTATCTCAAGACTTCGATATGGCGAACCGCAGAAAATACATCATCTGACGTACTACAAACGTGGCACCACGATTTTAACTGCCTTGACTGTAGTCCAATCTTCCAAAGCTTCCAAACCGCCATCTCTGCCAAAGCCGCTTTGTTTGTGTCCTGTTTTATCAATGTCAGCAATAGTTTCCAGCCCCAGAAACGAAAAAGAATTAATAAAGCACTGCTTCTAAATGGCAGATAATCATACCTCCAAACGGCATGTTAGCAGCCAACATTCCCCACGCATTGATGGTGACCTGGCCGCTCTCGAGGTGGTCCGCAACTCGATGCGCACGGGCAAGATCCTTTGTGAAAACGGCGGCGGACAAGCCATACTCGGAATTGTTGGCTTTTTGAACGACATCTTCTTCGTCATGGAATTTGGCGATGGACTATGAAGTGGAAAGCGTTACGGGTCAGCGCACAATGCACACATCTTCTTCGTCTTCTTAAGAAGAGGAAAAAAAGGTACTTACCGCTACGGGTCCGAAGATTTCTTCTCTCATAACAGGTGAATCTTCAGGTACATCAAAGAAAGCTGTGTTTTCGATGGCATTGCTACTTCCGATTCGCTTACCGCCATGCAACAATGGCGTGCCGTTCGCCTTCGCGCTTTCGATATATGATGAGACTTTTTCCCGCTGCTGGTCGCTAATGAGAGGTCCTTTGTTGGTTTCTGGAGCCATGGGATCACCGGGCGCAGCATTCTTGCATCGTTCGGAGAAAGCCTTCAGGAACCTCTCATAGACGGTGTCCTGGACGTAAATTCGGGATCCGGCGGCGCAAATTTCACCTTCGCCCGCAGTGATTGCAATTGCAGCCCATGTCACCGCCTCTTCGAAGTCAGCATCGTCGAATATGATTGTCGGGCTCTTTCCTCCGAGCTCGAGAGACACTTTTTTAAGGTTGCTCTCTGCTGATGCTTTCAAGATGGCGCGTCCAGTAAGGGTAGAGCCGGTGAAAGCGATCTTGCGAACTTTCATGTGGTGGGCCAAAGCAGAGCCGGCTGTGGAGCCAAGACCTGGTATGATATTGATGACACCGGGTGGAAATCCAGCTTCGGCAATCAGCTTGGCCAGATGGAGAGCTGATAGGGGTGCCACCTCAGGCGGCTTGATGATTAGCGTGTTCCCAGCTGCTATGCAAGGAGCAATCTTCCAGCAAGTGAGCATTCTACAATCATCAATATCTCTTGGAATTTCGGAAAATACTACACACCAACTTACAGGGGAGTGTTCCAAGGCACAATAGCTGCAGTAACTCCGTAGGGTTCTCGGCGCGTGTACGAGAAGCCCCCTCTCTCCCCCCCTTGATCCCAATCTGCACTTCGTCCGTCTATCTTATCAGCCCAGCCAGCGAAATGCCTGACCCATTCGCAAGCCATTGGTCCAAGCTGACCACTTGTTGTCGTGAGTAGTGCTCCGACATCGTTACCTTCGAGGATGCTAAAGATTTCGAGATCGCGCTCGATCAAGTCAGCAAGTTTCAGTAGAAGCTGCCTTCGCTTCGCTGCTGCAGTCTGCTTCCATATTCCCTGATATGCACGGGAGGACGAGGCGACCGCAGCGTCAACATCTGCTGCTGTAGCTCCCGAGATGACACCAATGGTTTCTCTGGAATATGCGTTCTTGATGTCGAGTATATGGCCTTCGAGGGATGGAACGAATGTATTATCAATGAAAAGACCCGTAGAAACTGAGACTTGTTTGCCCTTCGGACCTCGGATAGTCAATGTTGATACCGCCATGTCGATGCAATTTTCATACAGCTCTTCTCGACGCCTCGATTACGTCGCTATGGATGGGAATTCGAATATTATATCTGGCCTCATATGTCCAATTCGCCCATATTACACTGCACAGCCAAGCACGCAAGATCATGAGAGGCAGGTTCTGACTAAAACTGCCTAAACGGGAATGGCCAGGCTATATGTGCCTGGAACGGAATAGTCCAAGCTCAATCGGTGCAAGTTTGGGATACTAGCGCATGCCGCATGACAGGACTGAAGCAATCAGGACTTAGTTATCAGGGCCACACGTATGCGCCATATGTTGCCTTTCTTCTAGATTAGATGGGTGTACCATGCGCGAGTCGTCTTAGCGTGCAGTTAGCTTTGGAGCGGTGGTAGGCCGACCCACGAGAGCTGGCTATACATAAGAGGATGGATGAGACGCTTGTTCTGCGTTTGCTTTGTCCTGCCGGATTCTACTTCAATTCTTCTCTTCTGTCCATCTTTGAAGAAATACAAGGGGACCAATTCGATTAATTACAAGGCACACGCTATGGCTCTGGATCGTCTGAAGCAGGCAGCGAGCCATGTGACGGGCATTGGCCGTGCTCCACATCCGCTGGATCCTTTAATCGAGACGGAAATTGAGTATGCCGTTGATGTTATCCGGAGAGAGCACAGCCAGGTTGCTTTCAATGCAATCACCCTGTATGAGCCGCCCAAGGCGATCATGCTGAAGTGGGTCAAAGACCCGGAGCACACCCCTCGCCCGAACAGAGTCGCGGATGTTGTATGCATCGGGAAGGGCAGCAAGGTGTTTGATGGTCTTGTAGACCTGACAGATGGCAAGATACTCAAATGGGAAGAGACGCCAGATGTTCAGCCTTTGGTTAGAATCCTATAGAGAAATGCTTTCACCGGCGGCACTAACCATGATTAGATTACTATAGAGGATCTTCAGATTGTTGAGTCGGCTATCCGGAAGGATCCAAAAGTCATTGAGGAATGTGGCATCATTGGAATTCCACCAGAGGACATGCATAAGGTTTATTGCGACCGTGCGTACTCCGTATTGTACGTCTATTGCTGGTCCGAAATGCTAATAATCACTAGCCTGGACTATTGGTTATGACGAGCGATTTGGTTCGAACATCCGACTTCAACAAGCTTTGATGTACTATCGTCCGCACCCAGACGACAGCCAATACACTTATCCGTTGGATTTCACACCCATCTATAATTCCGACACGCAGGAAATCATCCATATAGATGTTCCACCTATTCGCCGGCCACTGAATAAGGCCCCACCGAACAACTACCATGCTGCGGCAATCGAGAAAGAAGGTGGCTTCCGTACAGACTTAAAGCCGATCAACATCACGCAGCCTGAGGGTGTCTCATTTTCACTCGATGGCAGAGTTATTAGCTGGCAGAACTGGAAGCTACATGTAGGCTTCAATTACCGCGAAGGCCTTGTTCTCTCAAATATCAAGTTCAATGACCAGGGTGCTGAACGTGATACTTTCTGGCGATTATCTCTCGCTGAAATGGTGGTTCCGTACGGAAACCCAGAGCACCCTCATCAACGGAAACACGCCTTCGACCTAGGAGAATATGGTGGGGGATATATGACAAATTCTCTCAGCCTTGGCTGCGACTGTAAGGGAGCCATCCATTATATGGACGCAGTGTTTGTGAACAAGGCTGGTGCTGCTATCACCATCAAAAATGCCGTCTGTATCCACGAAGAAGATGCAGGCATTCTCTTCAAACACACCGACTTCCGCGACGAATCCGTCATAGTGACGCGCGCCCGCAAGTTGGTCCTCTCCCACATCTTCACAGCCGCAAATTACGAGTACTGCGTGTACTGGTGAGTTAGATCTTGCTTCCGCAACTGGAAATATAATCTTGTTGACATTTCTAGGATCCTACATCAAGACGGCACCATTCAACTGGACATCAAACTCACTGGCATCTTGAACACATTCCCTTGTAATGAAGACGAGAATCTCCATGGCTGGGGCACACAAGTGTATCCAGGAGTTAACGCGCACAACCACCAGCATCTCTTTTGCATGCGTATCGACCCTAATATTGATGGCCCTAACAACACTGTCTACATGGTCGACGCTGCGCGTGGCTCTGGCGAAGTTGGCTCTCAAGAAAACAAATACGGCAATGCTTTCTACGCGCTTAAGACGAAGCTAGCAACGCCTGAGCAGGCCGCCACCGACTACAATGGCGCTACAAGCCGTACATGGGAAATTTGCAACGAGAGAAAAATCAATCCCTATTCTAAGAAGCCCGTTTCCTACAAGCTTGTTAGCCGCGAAGTCCCTGAGCTGCTTCCAAAGCCAGGTGGTCTTGTTTGGAAGCGTGCCGGCTTTGCGCGGCACGCTGTGCACGTCACCAAGTACGATGATGGACAGCTGCACCCGGCAGGGCGCCATGTTCCGCAAACCTCCGGCGAAGTCTCTCAGGGAATTCCACAGTGGATTGCGGCCAATCCTACCGCCGACATCACCAACACTGATGTCGTGTTGTGGCATACCTTTGGTATCACGCATTTCCCTTCGCCTGAGGACTTCCCTGTGATGCCTGCGGAGCCAATGACGTTGTTGCTGCGGCCGAGGAATTTTTTCACAAGAAATCCGTGTCTCGATGTGCCGCCGAGTTACTGCAGTGTGCCAAGTGGCGTGAAGCAGGGAAGTGCGCTGGTGGACAAGTTGAGCAGAATAGCGTTTGGTGGAGATCAGAGTGGGACAAAAGGGTGCTGCTAGAAGTAAAATCACATCGCCAAAGGGAGGACAGCTGCAATCAAACCGATCGTCAAGGCTGTGTAACTTATGGCCAAATGGAACCACTTGTTAAACAACAGGAATGAATAGAGTGAGTCAGGGTACAGCATAGGTAGCAGGCCACAGATACCTGCAACGTTGTGAAAACAGTAACTGGATTTTCCCATAATGAGCAGAGACCATTGGTCTTACTAGGAAGCGTGCAACATCTGATAACTAGAAAATTCCCTTCAATATATGAACGAACGCACCTTCCCTCCTTAAAAGGTGACGAAAAGGGCTGGAGGCCCAGCGGCGTCCACGTCAGAAGGTGATGCTCAGCGCCGCGTAATCGAATCGAATTTTAAAATATCGAGTTGATATAGGCACAGCTTATAAATACATGTAAGTGTGAGATGTTTCGCGCATAAGCACAAAAGATATGAGTTTGAAATGAATTAAGACGAATCCTTGAGGAGTGACCTTAGGTTCGGACGAGACTATGTATTCTATGCACGTGACTGGGACTGCCCTGGCCCGAGGGGTACCCGATAGATCCCCGAGGGTTATCCTCCAGTTCAGAGTATCGTGATGCCATTATAGCTAATATAGTAGTGGAATAACAAATAGATAGAAAGTAGAGCAGACTATAAGGGCGAACAACAAGAACAGATTACATCAATCCAATCTAACATATTCAACTCTTTAATCTCTCTCCCCTAGTATTATCTATATAGAATCGATCGATTAAGCTACCTCTAAGTCTATAAGAACAAGAAGTACCCGCCTCTTAAAAAAAATCCTAAATATAGCTTGCGATACTAGATATTTAGAAAAATGCAACACTTAGCCAGCGATGTCCTGCAGCACTATATAGTGTTTCTCAAAGAACTCTTAATAATCGACTTGCTGGAGTCTCTCCCTGACAAGATATCCAGCCTAACTTAATAAGACCCCTTGTGACCGAAGAGGTGATGCTTTGTGACCATATCTTAGACCTTGACTGGCGAGGATTTCCAGTACGCCTCTCTACTGTTAAAGGCCTGGCTAATTCCTTGCCAGCTACTCGCAACTATAAGCCTGTTAGCCAAAACTAGGCCAAGTCCTTTGTAAAGCGTTATCCAGAGCTTCGAACAAAGTTCAATCAAAAGTATGACTAGAGCGTTGTTGTCGCGGCATGGTGGTAGTTATGGAGAGCGTCGCGTCAGGTTGGGTGGGACGTTCAGCTTACTGGTGTTTCCAGCTTATCGGTGGAGCACGTTAGTTAGTGTGCAAGCTTACTCTTTTGGGTGGTTGCTATGCGGATACAAAATACATCCGCACGCCATGCCGTATGTGGTCAAGCCTTCTGTGGCATCATTCTGCATCGTATTTGGGCGCAAGCGTGCCTACAGCATCGGTGCGGGCCTCAGAATTTCCTTGTATGATTGATCTCAGACAGGGCGTGCTCTCTGAACGACGCTTCGTCGAGGTAGGGCTCGAATCGCACTGGGGAGGCATCCGAAATCACATGATCGTATCGCGTCCGTACTCGGTACGAAGGTCTCCCCACAACCAACACGAGTTCACGGAAACCATCTTTCGGTATTTTTCTAGCATGGTCAGTGCAGGAGACACAGCATCGAAGCAAAATCCGAAGCCAACACTCTCGCAGACATGCTCAATCGCAAAAGAATCACCAATGTAAGCACTCTTCTCTTCGACTTGCTCCCTGAAAGAGACACGAGCTCCGATAATGATACCAAATAGGCATGTCAGCAATGTCAGCAAAGGAAGAGACGCTGTGATGGAGGAAAGCCTTGTTGTAACCACTGCGCAAAACACAGTAGACATTGCGTATACACGGCGCGGCGACAACGGGGCCCCGGAAAGAAGTAAGGCGTTGCTGGAGCGCCGAAGAAGCAGATAAGGAACTCATGTTTTCCAGCAAAGAACCCAGCGCGCACTCTACACAACAGCTGATTCACGATGATCTGTCGTCTGGACTAGCCTCTGCAGCACGATTCCTCGAGATCGATGTTCAAAGAAGCTACAACGAAGTACATAGTGGCAGAACGGCTCAAGACTCCGGCGAAGGTGAGTATGCAGGTGACAGTACGGAGTCTGGATATCTGACAAGGCTTTCCATAGAACAGATCACGCTAAGATACACTGCGATGGACGATCCTGCTCAAGGCCCGTGGACCACAGAAGAGACCACACGAACACTCCCTGCAGCCGCCAAGAAATTTGCCGCGTTTGCCGCGGACGTTCACATGACAATGAAACAAATCCAGACCCGGGTAGATCGGGGCTGCTTTGGAAAAAGGTCTTCGCATACCTTCCTCCTAAACATCATACCGTGTGTTTACTGCAGCCAGTAATTGAAGAAATCCAACTCCATGGTGTCTTCCTCGAAGAAGAGATCGTTCTCCGTCAACTTGACGAGCAGTACATTGCTGGCCCGGACGACTGCGACAGCGACCCGTGCCGATGGATGACTGTATGCTCACTCCTTGGGATATCTACGCTCCACAGGACAGATAGCAAATCCCTCGCCGCAATTTCATCGATAGCATGGGCATTCTTCAAAAACGCGTTCGCGATGTACGCCGAGCTCGTGGTTCGAAGACCTGCAATAGTCTCTTGCGAAGCACTACTGGTCATGGCCTTGTTCATGCTACGCACAGCCGACGCCGGCCTCGCTGCACAGCTGACAGCGGCTGCAGCCCACATAGCCCATATGCTCGGTCTGCATAAGCAGGAATACTATGTTGGCCTCGATGCTGACGTAGCAGAAAGACATAAACGGATTCTTTGGGTGGTGTACATTTTGAATGCTGATGTGACGCACAGATATGGTTTACCCTCGCCGCTAGATGAAGAGACTATTGTCATTAAATTCCCCGAAGTCGAGCACTATCATGTTTTCAGCCCTGGCGATGACACGGCACGCCTTGCAAGGCAACACCAGGGCGGCATTCTTCGACAACAAGCAATTTTTGCAGTTGTGCAGTTGCGGATACACAAGCTACTCGAACGAGTTTCCTTCGGGCGACTGTCCATGCAGGAAAGCACTGATCTGCTAGAAGCTGTCACAAAGATCCACCAAGAGCTTGAGGAATGGAAAAGTTTCTTGCCTACAAAAACCCAGCCTGATTCCAGAGCGTGCGGGACGCCGCGCCTCGAGATCCCTGTCGCTATGTTGCACTACACTTACCTCAGTTGCATTAGCAAGGTCAGTATGACAGCGGCGGTTTTATTAGATCTGGCAACATGGAATCCGGAAATGCAAGAACTACAGTCTCCCGCATCGAACACAACATTCACTACCAGCAGGATGGCTAGAGCTAGGTGCGCGATGGCAGCCCGTGGAACACTTGATGTGCTGTTCCGCTTGCAACCCCAACCCTTCACACACCTCTGGTAGGTTTGTTGTAAGCCATATTTGGTGACCAATCTCTTGAAGCTAACAACCTAGCAAGGCAAACTCTGTGCTTCCCACTCTCCGCAATCCTCATTTTACTGTCAGAAACCCTTGCATATCCAGCATCGGCCCACGCCGAAACCGATGTCGAACTCATTCATGACTTCGTCCGATATCTAGAGCGGCTGGAATCAGAGGGATGCGAAGTACACCTGCTTATCAACGGCTGTAGGAGATTCTGGAGCATTGCAACTTGTGCACTAATCGCTTCACAAACTGACGGAGAGGTGACGGTTTTTGAACAAACAAGGGAGGTAAGCAATCAAACTGGGTTCCTGCAATTTCTGTAGCGATAAGCTGATACATGAGAAATCCAGTCAATATACTCAAAGCTCGCGCAAGTCGTGGACTGGCTACAACTTGCAGAAGGACTATTAAGCAATGTGCCAATGTTAATTGACAAGGCACGTGAACTCTTCTGTGACATTCTGGAACCAAGTGGACCGGACGAGCGGTACGGTGACTTTGTCCCGGAATTTCTGAAACCTAGTAAATATGGTTTCTCAGTCAGTAGTTAAGAAATTCTCTATTAGTTAGGGATTATTAAATTGATATAGTTGCTGTAAGAAGATAGCATGTTTAATGGCTTTTTTTCTCGTCCGCATATTTTACCATGCACGCTACATCAACACGAATGTAGGCAGGGCGGTGGACCACCTAAGCTTATTAGTTTCCAGCTAGAACTGCTTGAAGCTTTGCAACGACAGTACCCACACATCCTATCCTTTTCAAAAGCTAATGAAACAGGAGCACATGTATCAGTAAGTGAGGACGCTTCAGCAAGCAGTAGGCATCGCTTGTGATGATACAATACAAACTAGGTCGTCTCTAGAAAGTCATAGGAATGCACTCATCAGCCCTAGCCGATGTGGCAAACTGGAACGAGGCAATTGATTTAACACAGTACCTGTCATTAGACCTACTGCTTGACAAATGTGTTCATTCAGGAATATGTGTGACTAATCTGAAGTTGGGACAAAACTTTAGCATGGCCTATATGCCAAGTGTCGCATCAAAGAGCGACTCGGACTTATTTTGGTCCGTAGAAGATCCTAATGCAGGGTTGTCGTAACTAAAGCATCCTGACAAGCTCCACTGTTTGCTCTTCCAGTGCAGATAAACCTAGTATCTGACAATGCGCCACCTAGAGCGAAAGGTTTCTTCCGCAACTAGGGATGCGGATGTATCTCAAGTCGATCAGTCAGCAATTCAAAAAAGGCTTGCGTCATCTTCATCACTCGACTGGTGCTGACCCACCGCTGTTCAAAAGCTGCGACACACAGATTACGAAGCATTCTCCCGCAGCGGACGAACGGACCTTGAACGTGCTACTTAAATCATGAACTGCAGTGCTATTACTCTAAAAAACAGACTCTAGAAAATTTTGCACGCAACGATATCGTTTTTGGTCTTCATCATGTCGTTCACCCTTACTGGCATTGCGCAGTCAATTTGCACGCTTCGCCCCCTACTTGTCCTTGCTGAGAAAGGAGTCGAAGATTTCACGCTGCATGCTCCGAACATTGCTGGTGGCGAGCACAAGGTAAATAAATTCCCGTCTTAGCTGTGGATGAACTCATCACGAAATTCAGACCGAGCTGCACCTGAAGAAGCATCCTTTTGGTCAGATTCCAATCCTCGAAGACAACGGCTTCGTTCTTTTTGGTCAGTTTGCTGTGAGATCTTCTCTTCGTTACTGAACTGATCACTTGCAGAGTCACGCGCGATTTCGCGTTTCTTAGCCCAAAAATTCGCTAACCAAGGCACGCCTCTTCTACCTTCCCTCAGAGATGAGAAAGCTTGGGCTCTCTTTGAACAGTGGGCTTCTGTCGAGCAAAATAATTTCGACCCATTCGCCCAGGAGATATTCCGCCAGAAGAAGATCCGCCCGTAAGTTGCATACACAAGCACTCTATGAAAGCATCACTGAACCTTTTGAAGCATGTTTGGTCAGCCTGTTGATGAGGCAGCCCTCGAGAACGCGAGAAAATCTCTCGCTGAGAAGCTTGACGTATTCGACAGTATCCTTGCGAAGCAGGATTACATGGGCGGCACCAATTTCTCTTTGGTAGACATCTTTTATATGCCGTTAACTGGGAAGTTGTTTGAGGTCAACGAGGGTAATTTGATTGAAAGTCGTCCCAATGTGCAGGCTTGGTGGGACCGAGTCTCTGCAAGGAATTCGTGGAAAAATTTGGCTTAGTGAGCCGTCAGTTGACAAATATGGGATTGCTGCATGGTGTATAGCTACCCGACGACAGTGAATTCATATTAAAAAGTTGCTAAGCCGTCAATATCTAAAGTCTCCAGTGTTGTAGTGTCTAATAGCTTGGTGTGTGTGTGGGTGGGTGGGGGGGAGGGGGTTTATCGAACACGTCCCTCAACAAGGCCGGAAAATGATCTTGCTTCATCAGGCATAGCAAGAATGCGCAATATCAGTGTTTTTTACCGTGCTTGCGGTGTCCTCTCGTGACCTTTTCTTATTTCATGCTATCTATGCTGTATAGTTATTGCACTGCAAATCATACATTAGACTTTGCAGCCTGGTCCATTTATGATCTGGCATTGCTACAGCTGTGTGAAGCATATTGTGTTATTAAGGTTGTAGACCCATTTATAAAGTGCAAGCGTCAGCTGTTCTTACGTTGTTCAAGTTTCCAACCTTCAAGTTCGACAATATGTGACCTAAGTATGGGACATCTTGTGTGGGGTAATAACCAGCTTTTGGCAGGATGCGCCGCCTTTCTGCTGGCAACATTGCAGCCTCCTCAGATCAATTGTGCTCCAACTCATTATATTTCTCTTTGCAACGCTTTGAGGTTGGAGAAGTTAGTGAGAATCCTATAGTCAATTACCTTTGTTCAAGCAAGTCTAGCTAATCATCCCAATCTTCGGAAACAGCACTCTTAGACTTCCCGAGCTCTAGCTATTCCCAGTACATGCATTATAGAGTCCGTGTCATAATCAGCTCCAATTTGATAGCGTCTAGCAATATTGATGTCGGGAACGACTCTGACTCCTCTCATAGTTGCCTTGCGAATTTTCTCTTTAACTTCAAAACCACCTGCGCGTGAGTTTAACCAAGCCTTAGCCTCCGATATATCGATACCTGGTTCTATAGCTACGCTCGTAAGAAATTCATGGGATGACTGGTCTTGGCCATCCTCAAAATGACCTTTGAACAGCCTTTCCACGACAGCAAGCTGCATTGTGTTGGATTTCTCGCCACCAAGATGTATCAAGCGATGATCATCGTATGTGCTGCCAATCTTGCGACAATTATTGAAATCAATGCCTTAGGCGCGACTGAGCGTCTGTTCGCATTCTGATTTTGCGTCTAGCGCCTCTTGTCCGAACACTGAGGCAATGTAGGTTGAAATGTCTATGGAGACCTTGGGTGCGTTTGGTTGGAGAATCATCGGATACCACTGGACTATGATCGAATCGTCGGTATATCTATCTTGGTGCGTCTGAATAGCTCTCTTGATACGTTTTAAGGCTACGTAGCACTGCTTTTGGAATTAAGATGTGCTCTTAAACCCAATAGTTATGTAACTTGCACCATACTTACGAAGGGACACCCTATGTCGATGACGACGTCGATTATGATTCTAGTCATAATGGCGAAACTGTCTCCTTATATCAGCGGTCGGGCCCCGGAGATGTGTAAAAAATCTGTGAAACTACGCGAACTCTGCTTTAAGATGTTGCTGTATCAAAAGGTCACCGATGTAGCGGCACTTTGATACAGAAACGCCCTTAGACTTTGGCGAACTAAGGTTGGGTCTTGTCCAAAAGGGGCGGCGGATGCAGATGCGGATGCGGATGCGGATGCTTTAAATCGCGCAGCTTACTGTACTGAAGCTCCAGCTAGCATCATCGTAGAATCCGTATTGCTCTCTTATCTTGTGACGGGCGCTTGTCCAGCACTACCAATTCGGCCTTCAATTGCAACGCCGAAGTGTTAGCTGCTACAGCAGTAGTCGGGTGGGTCTGAAAGGGTGAAGTTCCGATTGAGTTGCCTCCGGCGCGAACGTCAATGCGCCGTGAGTGATGCAGCCAACAACGCCTAGTAGCGTGTTCATCCATTGGGATTGGTCAGGTTAGTATAATCTGAACGGCTGCGGTACCTAACACAGCTCTCCCATGACTAGCTGAAAACACAGACTCGATTGCGAGTCCTGGGCCGATTTCTTTTCGAAACAAAACCATACATCCGAGTAGAATAACCCTCAGGCTTGACAGTTACTATGCTTCCACCAGTCAAGTCTGTTCTAATCACTCAATGCAAGTTCAAGGGGCCCTTTGTTACGGCCTTGTGAGGTCAGACTGAGCTAGCGACCCCTCTTGAGAATGCCACAGGCGTGCGCCGTGAGGGACTAGTGAGCAAGCTAGATGTAAGGAACCCGGATTTCTGAAGGAGCAGCTATGCAATTGAAAGGAAATATTGACTTCGAGGGGAGCAGATATCAATCAAGGCCTTAGCGGAAGCCTGTGATGTCTTGACATCTGCGCGTCACTAGGACCTCACGGATACCCCAGTACTTTCGATGGCTTACTCGTAGGTAGACAAAGCATCTATCTCACATTAGATGGCGTGAATACGGAGCCGCTCGGATATTTTAGGGCATTTTTCTACAGTCAATATCGTATTATGGAGATGAATGATGAGCTCGTGTCCGCCTTATATTGGCCGCATGTTTTCTGGATTAGTATAAATGTTGTGGGAGATCAAGTCACTATTATCGTCACGACTGTCAGACACTCAAGTCTCGCTTCTAAATTCTTCCCAAATCGAGCGCTCCCAATATACTACGATGCCTACTTTGAGCGTCAGTTCCCTTTACTCTGTTCTCACAACAATTGTAATCACAGCATCTACTACGGAGCCTATTTTTGCATCTCATTTTAATCTTAAGGCTGCTAAACGCGGAAGCCCTTGCCTTTTCACCAGTAAGATAAACCCTACCGCGGTAGTCAATTAGTTGTCAGGATGCTCCCCCATCACCATCAACGCCGTCACTGTTCCGCCCAGCGCTACCTTCAATCTCTCTAGACTTACCGACGGGACTTCCGTTGACTTCTAGGGGGTCTCGACCTAGGGTGTTCAAAAAAGATTCGGCGGCCCTATTCTCAGCATCGGTGGCAAGGCTATTGTCGTCAACGGTGAGGCGGGCATCATGCTCGTCGGTCAAGGAGAGAGTTGCTAAGACGGGCAAGGCAGCAGTCAGACTTTCCCAATCAAGCCAAAGTCCTTGGCAGCCTATAATCTCGTTGGCAAAGCCAACAGTCTGTGGAACTTCTTTTGGTTGAGGCATCCAGTCATCCAGTGCCTGATCCCATCATGAATAAGAAGTAGGAAGTATCACAGTCTCGCCGTATTTATCTCCTATGGCAGGTTGTCATCACATGCGATGGAGTGGTGTTCGTGGTAGCATACGAGCCACAGTACCTCTATGTAGAGAACATCTGGAAGCAATGCTCGCAGCCTGAGCACGAGCCATACATGTTGGCAAGTCCTTAGATGGGCAATATGAGGATATAGATAAAATCCTATGATTTTATCGACGCAGTAATCATGTACCTAAAGTCTGCTGGCAGACTTAAGTTTTTATATGCGACTCCATTGTAGCCACACGCAACAGCGCCGCCACTTGATGGTTCTTCCACAAGTTCTTGGTATTTTGATTGTACTACCATTTCATCACGTGCATAGCTTCCTTCGTGCGTTCATATCTAGATGAGTTTCCGGAAAGTCAGTAAATACTAAGGTTGGGTTGCCCTACTTCGGCTAACTTGTTTCCCAACTTCTTTCTTTTGATTAACCTTCCTTGAGCTACGCTTCCTTCTCTATGCATTGAGCTTGTTGAACAGTGCAATGATCACAGATGACAGGCTAAGTAATACAATCACCACTACTGACCCAACGAGAACAGGGCCTTCGATGGCTATCTTCGTTGACCTGTCTCGCTAGCTCATGTTGAGCTACCGAGCAAAAAAACATAAAAGACTCTCCAGCGGGGAATTGAACTTGAACCCCGGTCTGCCGCAATTTGTCAATTGCTTAACAAGCGGAAATACTGGCCACTATGTAACTGTGCTGTTTGCCACTATGCCCGTTAAAGTTTCCGTTCTAGGTTACCAGTATCCGTTAATTTTTCTGCTTTTAGTCACTGTAAACCGACAGCAGACAGCAGGTTTCTGTTCTTAGACATATTAGTCTCAAAGCAGCCCGTGTTTCACCCTCTTAGGTTTTAGGCGCCGTAGTGTATTGGTGGCGCTTATCGCCTTAAAGCAGCATCGCAGTGTTTAATTTCTCACGATGACTGGCGTAGTGACGTATCAAGCCCAGATCCCATAATAATTAGCTTATGACTTTAGCCTGTCGTTATAGAATACACTCTGACCTCTCTCCGTGCGTAGTAATAAGAATGAAAGAATCTTTGACTTTGCAACGGCTTCACTCTTTCTCTACGGTATGCTCGTGGTCAAGAGCCGTACAGTAGTATCAAAAACAACTTTCCTACACACTTTGCGGTCTATGTTTACAAATTACACTAAATATATTATCAAGTTGCTTACTCTCTGCTAAACATATATTGACTGTATAATAAAACGTTAACTAAGACAAAGTAGTATTAGCTGTATGCGCGCTTTCGAGCCAGACTCCGCTACATAGAGAGGTACACGCAGCGTATAGTAGTAACTAAAGCACATGCAATAACGTGAAGCACCACCGAGCCGGCCCCAGGTATCACTCGAATGTAGCTCGGGAAAACCCTCTCTAAAGTTAGCATTGCTTAGTATATACTTGTCACTAGTTAAACTATATAACTAGTTAGTTCGAGTATAAAATCTCTAAGGGAGTAGAAGAGCGATAGTTATATTACGCTCTATGGCTCTCGGATCTAGTATGCATGTCCGTCAATGCACAATCTGACACCTGTCGAAACAGACGTGTAACCGGCATCATAGTCTCCTACACCTTGTCCCCATACTCTTGAAACTCTACCGCTTCCTTCGTCTGCCCGTTGGTCTCATACGCACCAGCAAGGGCGTGCTGCAATAATAGCCAGTCTAGATAAGTCTCTGCTAGCGTAGTCTTATACACCTTAATAACGTGCTCTAGCAGCTCTACTACCTACCTAGTATAGTTCAAATATCTTAGATATCTTACTGTAAAGTTCTATATCTATATATATTCTTATAATAGATTTATCATAGTAATCCTAAGAATCTTAAAAATTCTTTTAAGTAATAACTCTAGCTTCTTATCTTCTATTATCCTCTTTAACGCCTATCTATGCTTTAGTAAGATAGATAATATTATCCCTAGCAGGCTAAATAAAAAGATCTTTTTAATACTAAATAACAGAAATAACTCATACACAACTGCAGACAACTTCGAGTTTTCTAGAATAGGTGTAATTTTAGTCAAATATATATAAACCCCTCGCGAGAAATCGATTACAATCACCTTTAAAGCGTGCACGCCACGCGCTGTGGAGCTATAGGCTGTTAAAGTGATCACTTTAGACACGTCTTATTTTTCACCGAAAAACACACAGACCAGGTGGATTAGTAATCAAAATGCCACCCGATAGTGATACTATCGACGTACACGTGCCAGGCACCCAGGCGAGAGCAGGAAATCGAAGCTCAGATCCAGAATGAGATAGATAT